AATGAGGAAAAGAACAAACGCACTCTTCAAGACTGTGGTATTACAGTTACAAAAAAAGGAGAAGATGAAAGTCCTACTGCTTCAAACTCTTCCCTGCCAAGTCAATCGATTCAAGTAGTAAATAGTTTTCCCCGTGAAAGGATATTTTCCCATTTGATTAATTCAATGTTATATAAATTTTTAACTTATTTTTATAGGTTGGAACTGAAAACGATGTCACTGACATTTCTGAAAGCTCGGGAGAGCCCCTATCAAAAATCGGAATGGTAGCTGTGAATGAAGAGAATATTTTAGTAAGTTCTACCTCTTTAAAAGAAATGATGTTAATAAACTTTTAAGCTAATAAAATAAGATTTTTTAAAATTTATTCTCAGGTGTTGCCAACAGAAGAACCCATCGCTACCACTCCTTCCAATGATCCTGCTTTGTGGGCAGCACATCTTTCTAAAGTGGAAAGAGATTCTGTGCTTCTACAGGGGCTTCCTCAAAATCCTTCAGCTTTCCCGAAAGATTCTAATAAGAAGAAGGTTCCTGAATCAATTTTCTACGAAACTTCTCTCAACGGGGAGAAGACATGCCGAGATTGGCTGGTCTGGAGTGTATCTAAGAAATTATTTATTTGCTTTCCGTGTTCTCTGTTTGGAAGCAAACAATCTTTTGGGATCGGACACCAGTCGCACCTTCTAAGATGGAATGATGGAATAAGCTGCAACTGGCACAAGCTACCTGAGAAAGTCAAAAGTCACCAGAATAACGCCCAGCATCGAAACTTTTACATAGAATGGAAAACGGCGCTAGAAAGCTTAGAAAATCAAAGTGGAATAAATGCAGCTCTTGAAAACTCGATAAGAAATGAAGCAGCCAGGTGACGTGAAATTCTACGATGCATCTTAGATGTTACTCTTTTTTTAGCATCACGAAACCTTAGTTTCAGAGGTAAATCTATTTACCAATATTCTATTGTGATATCGACTATCTTTAAATCTATTTAGCTTATATTTATTAGATTAACTAGATATTTTGGAAATCATTAAATAAAACAAATCCTTCTTTATTCTTTTAAATAAATATGTTATAATATTCATAAATCATAATATAAAATCATCATAGAATCATCATAAAATAAAACAAATGCTTCTTTATTGTTTTAAATAAATCTGTTTTATTATTATAATTTTTAGGTTCATCAAAAATGATTGGAGATGACGACAATGGCAACTTTCTAGCTACCCTAGAGCTCTTGGCCAAGCACAACAAGACTCTCCAACTACATTTAGAAGAAGTTTCCTGCTGCCAACAAGAAGGTAACAAAATGAATGCCTATTACTTAGGCTGGAGCACTCAAAATGAATTCATTAAAGAGTGCGGAGGAATCGTTCACGGTGCCATCATCAACGAAGCTCATATGGCCATCTACTATTCCATTCTTGTGGACGGGACTCCGGACGTCTCTCACACCGAGCAAATCACCTTTGTTCTCCGCTTTGTATACTTTGGTACTGACAAAAGATAGAACGTGAAGGAGCGCTTTCTGAGGGTCGAGAATCTTGAAAAAAAGATAAGTGCTGACATTGCCAAGCTTATTATGGACGTCTAAGAACAAAATGGAATCGATCTCAAAAACTGCAGAGGTCAAGGATATGACAATGGAGCGAACAAGTCCGGTATATACAAAGGAGTACAGGCGATTATACTGCAAAAAAATCCTCAAGCTCTCTATATGCCATGCAGCGCTCATAGTCTCAACCTTACTGGTGTTCATTCTGCTGAATCTTCGGTTGAAGTCAAGAACTTTGGCCGAGTCCAGTCACTTTACAATCTTTTCAGTGGAAGCCCTAGTCGGTGGAAAGTCTTGATTGAAACCACTGGTTTGTCCCTTCATCAAACGTCGCAGACCAGATGGAGTGCGCAAATCGAGGCCGTGAAGCCGTTAGTCAAGCGACCCAGGGAAATCCTCAAATCTTTGAAAAAGCTCCGCGATTTTGATCTAACAGCTGATCAATTGAATGAAGTAAAATCTCTGGAGAAGTGGGTTCATTCATTCGAGTTCATCGTAATGACAACCTTTTGGTATAAAACTCTTCAATCAATCAACTACGTGAGCCTTGCACTCCAATCAGAAAATATCTTCTTGGACGACGAGATGAAACTCATTAAGACTCTTATTGAAGATCTAAATCGACTGAGATCATCTTGGACCAGCATCCTTAATGAGGCACGTTTAATAGCATCTGGTCTTGCTTCTTTTGGTTTTCAATCAGAATTTGTGAAAAAGAGGACGAAAAAAAGGAAGACTTTTCACAAAGAGGTGAGGAACACCGCTCATTTCCATGAAGACGAAGCAAAAGAGTTTGAGGTGAGCGTATTCAATACAGCTCCTGATACTTATTCAGCAGATCAGCGATAAATTCGAATAAATTCGAAAAACGACGATAAATTCAAAAAACGATAAATTCGAAAAACGACGAATATGTTTTCGTTCTTGTGGTCATTGAAATCTCTTGTTATGTCAAATGAAGAAGAATCAGAAGAAAGTGTTGAAGCACCTATCCAATTGGAGGAGAAATGCAAGGTCTTGACACAAATCTACGCGACCGATGTTGAGGAAGAGAAACTTATTGAAGAGGTCCGCCACCTCGATGCTCTGAAGCGATCCAATCTTTTTGGTCTAAAAGAATCTCTCACTTCCATGACGTTATTGAATGGAATATACCAGAAAAGTCTTCAGCTGCTCTTCGAATCAGTCTGCATTTTGCTGCGCATCTTCAACACCATCCCTGTTTTTGTTGCGGAAGGCGAGAGATCTTTTATTAAGCTTGCTCTAGTTAAGACAGCTTTAAGGTTTACAATGAGCCAAGAACGACTCACGAATCTTCTGGTTATTTCCATTGAGCATGATCTTGCCAAAAAGTTGTGCTACGGTGAAGTGATTTCCAAATTCGCCATGAGTAAAGCTCGAAAGATCAATTTCCTCTGAAGTTGAAACAACAATAGCTGTTGTATTCTAGACAAATTTTTGCTCTTAACATCCAATAGTGTTTAATGTTTGTCTTTTTTTATTTCTACCATGTTCTAGTGTCGACTTTATCATTTTATGTATGAGTGTATAACCAAGTCAAAAGACCATTGCAATTATTTAGAAATAAACTGTTCAAATGTTCATTAATTAAAATTAAAAAGTTCTATATTCTTTTATCCTCTTTGATTTGTTATCAAATGGCTTATTATATGTATTTAATTATGGATCATTAGATCAGCTTTCATTTTCAGCAGGGCGCTTGGGAAATTTTGACCCTGGGCGCCGCAAAGGCTCACGGCGGGCCTGAATGCAATCTTCTTCCCAACAACTCTATAAAGGTCATAAAATGCTGAGCACGAAACATTATTCGGTTTAAACCTCCGTTTTCTATTAACCTTAAAACAAACGTAGTCAAATCTTTCCCTAATTTAATCGATATAAAATGCTTCCAAAAAAATCATAAGTTCCATAAACTGTTAAACCAAAAGTAACCTAAAAGTTAGTTTTTCAAATATTTGCAACATCATCACTTCACACAACAATAATATTTTATCAAATTCTTCTAAACTTAGTCTTCCGTTATGTAATTGCCAACAGATTGATTTATTTCCATTTATATACACAATGTAAAAACAAACTCACATGATAAAGGAATTTATTACATTGGAGTTACAGAAAAAACTTTTAAAAATTGCTTTTACTAACATAAAATTTATTTTCTTCATGAAAGTAAAGCTAATTTTAACGAGCTTTCTATATTTGTGTGGAGTATTAAAAAGGTTTTAAATTCTTTTTTTTTTTGTGGAAAATATTAGATCAGGTTGAACCGTTTAAACCTGGTGGCAAATTGTGTAATTTATACTTGATGGAGAAATGCCATATAACTTCACCATCATAGCCTTTGTTAAAAAGTCGAAATGAACTTGTGTCTTAGTGTCGTCATGAATGATTAACTTTAATGTTATCAAATGCGAAAACTCCACAGAATTATTTTAATATATTTTGTTGTTGTTAATTTTAAGATTTCTAACATCTGATAATCGTAAGTTTGCGTGAAACTCCGAGTTAAATCTTAAATAAAACGAGTATTATAATTATTTAGTTTTTATCATATATAAGGAAGGAGGGAGAGAAAGGGGGAGAAGGGATGTGGGGGTAGGGGTATTTTTTTTAAAGAAACCACCATAAAACTTGAAAAATTTTTGATTATGTAATATTAGTATTCTTCTTTTTCAATTTATTGGCGTTTTGAATTGCGTATAAATTAAAGCAAAAGTATTTAGAATAGCAAACGAGGATTTTTTAAATCTAGAGGAATTGTTTAAAGGCAAACAAATTGTCATAAAATTTAAATAAAACTAAGTATACTTTTTTTCATAGACTTCACAATAAGAAAACATTTCATTAAAACTTCCTTATCTTTATATTGGCAACTCTAAAATTATTAGAGAGTCATCATTAAAGTTATTAGGAGTGATACTTGACAAAAATTGGACACGGTGAAAACACATAAGAACAATTGAAGATAAAATTTTAAAAAATATTGGCATACTATACAAAGCTTAGCAATTATTAAACCAAAATATATATATATATATATATATATATATATATATATATATATATATATATATATATATATATATATATATATATAACTTTGTTAAAAATGTTCGCTAATGACTAATGCTAAAAGAAGACTTTGTTAAACATCTTCACTAATGACGTATGCTAAAAAAAAATCTACGCATGTAAAAACAATATTTTTATTTATTTTTGTATTTATAAAGTCTTTTGACTAACCAGCCGGCATTAGGTCCTAAAAAGACGTTTTTTGTGACCAAAAGCCGACTGCGTAAATGCTTTTAAGCTATACCTTTTGATTTCTCTTTTTTTATTACTATATGTGGATACCCTGTACATATGTTCAAAAAAAAAATTATTAAAATTATAAAAAAAATAACAATATATAATATATAACCTGGTTTAGGATGCTTCATTTCCTGGAAATCATGTGATGCAGAATTGTTGTATTTTGTCCACCGTATCCAGCTCGGCCCGTAACTCTTAAAATTGCCGTTATGAAGTAAGTCTATTAGCCAAAATCCTACGCAGCAAACTGTAATGTAGAAGCTTTTTATAACAAGGTTTAAAAAAATACGAATACGCATCTTTGTTTTTGAGTTTATTTTGTAGTTAAAATAATTGCGAACGAGCGAATCAGCACTAACTTCTCCTTTTAAACTTGTCTTCAAAGAAATTATATCCGTATTAACAATTCGAAACAACAAGTAAGGAAAGTAGTGCATCAAAGCGAGGCTAGCAATAAAAAATGGCATCCATTGATGTTGAAGATAAAATGTTTTTTGCATAGGTTTGCATTTTTGTCCTAAAGCTAAAAATGAAAAAATAAAATTTCACTAATTATATCAGTTAATTACTTAAATGAAAATTTAAAATGGCAAAGTTCAATTGAACATTCCTTGTAATCTTTCTGCGTAAACACATGATTTATTATAATATATTAAAATGTTGTCATTTTTCTTTTTTATCTTTAACAACTCCTTTTATATTATAATTGATATATGTTCCTTTAAATCACTTACACACCTATTATCAAGGAATCAACATTTATCTGAATAGGCCTAAGATGACGGCTATAATATTTGATATCTTTCTTTACAAAACTAAGATTTAGTGAAGCAATGCTGGATTTTAGAAACGGGGTTTATCGAGTTATTTTTTATGTACATATTCTAGTTTATGTAATAATTTACCCTCCTGAAATTACACCGATCTTCTGATAAAATATATCAGTCAGTGCATCAGTGTAAAAAAAAAAGGTGTATTTAGTCTTAGGAATAAAATTAACAATAAGGTCAAACAAATATCAAAAATCTTTGGTTTTAGCTATTTGTTTTTTACTCATACTTTTTATAAAATTTTCAAAGAATTAAGCGACATCCAAGAAAGTTATTGTTATTTTATTATTTTCATTAATATTCCAAAATATTTCATCAATATTCCAAAATATTTCATCAATATTCCAAAATATTTCATCAATATTCCAAAATATTTTATCAATATTCCAAAAAAAATAATACTACGCTGCTTAGCTCTAAAAAAAATATAAAAAATTTGAAAGAAAAAAAAAAAAGCACTTTTAATAATAAACCAAATAAGATTATAAACTAGTTTTACAATCGGGATAGCAGGTTTTTGGAAGAAATTTAAAAATTTCAAATTAGATGGTATATATTTTTAATTGAATGTGAAATTATAGTTAGTATGAAAAACTATATTGTGGAGTTTTAAAACAGAAAAATACCCAAAATCTTTCAATATTGTTCTTTATTTAAATTATATTACATAAATAAGCCTTTTTTTTTTCACTATTACCGTTTAGAGGTAATTTGAGCAGTACGTAATTGCTCAATAGTTATTTTCAGCTCTCTGAATGACTTAAATTTTGTTTGTATGCGTCTTTGCATAGTCTAATAAGATACACATAAACATTAATTATGGTGTATGACCACTCCTAAACCAAAAACCTCATTTTTTTTAGTAGATTTGGAGAAAGCTTAAGCTCGGTAATGCCATACTTTTTAGCTTATTTGTCAATAAACTCAGGTATGTACTAGATGATAACATGAACTTTTGATGCAATTGATGTTTTTAGGGGTTTTATTTCAAAATTTTAAAAATTTAGAATTTTTTATATGCAGATTCTAAATTTTAAAGAAATTAGAAAAATTTATTTAATGTATACAAAATTTATTTTAAAATCAAACAATTTTCAGGTTTTTAGAACTTTTTTGAAAATACTAAAATGTCGATAACCTTTCTTTAAATGTTTTTAAAAAGTTCACTTTTGTATAAAAATCAAAATGCTAGTACAACAACTACTTGAAGAAATTTGTTTTTAACCCTATTGTTAAAACCATGCTTAATCAATAATAACGAGGTTCATGTTAAAAGTTTAATTTGAAATTATCAAACTATACTATGGTATAGGGGAAAGCGGGGCAACATGGCGAACGTTTTGAAAGCCCTGAGTTGTTGTAAAACTATAAGTCGTGAAACCATAATACTTTCTCAATATGTTTATGTTATTAAATTCTTTCAGTGCCTGCATGAATTTTCAGATATTTTTACCTCCAATCTTATAAAATTTAAAAAAACTTTTAATAACTCTGCTAAAGTAACAAAAAATAAACACAAATTGCAAAAAACTACTTCTAAAGAAGTTAAACTTGAAGGACACCAACCATTATGAGAAACCGAAAGTGAGAAATTTTTATTGAAGCGCAAAAAGTAAACTTATGTGAATAAAATTGCGTTAATAGTATTTCAAAAAACCAATAATAATATTTCAAAATACAAGATGCAAATACAGTTTCGTTTTCACCCAATTTTAAGATTTTTTGTTGAATTGTTATATGAAAACCCATCTTGCCCCATTCGCCATGTTGCCCCGCTTTCCCCTAATCATGTTTACTTTAAATAAACAGACTGGTCTACGTAATTAAGCGTATACTATTTATAGTTAGTTCTATATTTTATTTATTTAGAAAACTTTTTCAACATTAAAATAATTTATTTAAATGATTTTTTTTTCAATACTACCAAAACGATACGATACGCATTTAAAGTTTAAGTCGATTTTAACGTTAAAACATGTGGTTTGATAAACATAGCCTAATTTAAATTGACAAATATAACATTTTGTTAATCAAAACTTTGGTCCTTTAAACACAACCGACCCCACTTCCAGATTAACCAGACCCCTTGTTCGGTCAACCAGACCTTTGATCTTTCCCCTTCTATTAATGTGACCATGAATACAAAACTTTTTTAGAGTTAAGCTACAATACACTACCATATCAACATTAGTAATCTATTTATTATAAACATTTTCTTGAGAACCTAATATAGGTCTACTTATAAATCAAAATTTTCCTAAATTTAGTCTTGACAACTCAAAAAGAATATGTTTCAGGTAATAACTAACAACTTAAGTTGCTGGGTAAACTATCAAATGGCTTGTTAAAATTTATAGTGGGTTAAACATCTCTTCGGCAGCCAACAGAACCATTTAGTGGAAATGTAAGAATATTTGATAAAAGTTAAATATTATATAAATGTAAAATAAAAATATAATATGTGCTCTTTACATTTATATTCTTTTATTGTTGCATTTGGTTTTTTCAGGCAGACTTATTTTAATCACATGCAGAGTTATTTTAATCTCGTCGTTTTACGCAACGAAAAACTAATACTTCAAAAAAGCACTCGCAATCGAGACCAACTTATATATTTTCATATATAAAGTTTCAGCAGTAAAGACGCGCAAGTAACCCAAACTAGAGATTTTTTACTAAAATTAATTTAACTTTTTAAAAAAAGAAAACTAATAAAAAATAGTTTTAATAATTTAGGAATTTTTTACTTGGTCCTGTTTTGCATAATACTCCATTTTCCAACATACCATCATATATGATATCTCTAGGCATACCATAGTATCTAGAATCTTTCATTCGCATTGCCATTTCGGGATAGATATAAAAGCCTTGTATCCAGCATGCACTGTGAACAAAATCTGCTCCTTTACAATTAAAAAAAATTATTTAAATGATTTTTTTTTTTAATTCAAAATAGTAGGCTCTAATATAGTACCTAGTATACTATATATATATATATATATATATATATATATATATATATATATATATATATATATATATATATATATATATATATATATATATGTATATATATATATATATATATATATATATATATATATATATATATATATATATATATATATATATATATATATATATATATATATATATATATATATATATATGTATATATATATATATAAATATATATATATATTTATATATTTATATATTATACTAATTTGTATATATATATATATATATATATATATATATATATATATATATATATATATATATATATATATATATATATATATATATATACATATATATATACAGTAGCGTGCAAAAGTAACCGGACAAGCGCTTAACTTGAGAAAACTTTTGAATGAAAAGTCCAATTTCTTTCAAATTTTCACTGGAATGTCAAAAAGTTGATAACAATTCTAAAAACAAATGAATTTTTACTTAATCTAAGCAATATAATGTTAAAAGTTTTATTTTATTGAAATATGAGCGTGCAAAAGTATCGGGGAAAAAAAAAACAAAAAAAAATTGCAATACCTTTGTTGGCTTTTATTTAATATTTAAAAACGGTAAACAAAGCATAAAGTATTTTCAATTAAAAAGAAGATTATTTTGAATAAATTTTAAAAATGAGAAAGCAAAAATATACAAGTTTACCTGTCAAAGAAGTGTTATTGCGTGCAATTGAACAAGGCAGAACTACAAGAGACATAGCGGATCGGTTTGATAAGGAAAAGCAACAGTTGCAGATATATATAAGGAAAGAAATAACAATAGAATCTCTCCAAAGTCAGGAAGTCCTTGAACTGCATCTGAAAGACAAGATAAAATTTTAGTTCGTGCCGCAAACTTATTTGGAAGACTTCCGGCAAAGAAACCTTTTATTTTCATGAAAAATCGAAAAGCAGGCTTGAGATTTGCTAAGGAACATCTGTATTGGTCTAGAGAACAATAGTCGAAAGTACTTTTTAGTGATGAATCTAAGTTTATGTTGTTTGGATCTGATGGTAATAGATATGTTTGTCGAGCAAAAGGCCATAGAAACGATCTTAAATACCAGCTACCAACAGTAAAGCACGGGGGTGGAAACGTTATCGCCTGGGGTTTCTTCAATAGAGATTGTGTCGGTCCTATCTATTTGATTGATGGTATAGTGGACAAAAATATGTGCAAAGATTTTTAAGGATGTTATGCTACCACATGCTAAAGACAAAATGCCTCGAGGTTGGATATTTCAGCAGGACAATGACCCAAAGCACAATTCAACCCTTGTGAAAGACTTTTTCAAGATCAAAAAAATTCAGTTAATAGAATGACCTTCGCAAAGTTCTGACCTTAATCCTATTGAACATCTATGGAAACACCTTGATTGACAAATTTCAGGTAAACCAACAAATAAACATGGTTTATTTAAAAATATGAAACAAGCATGGGAAAAAATTGACAATAATGTGATTGTGAAGCTGATGGACTCAATCCTAGTCGCTGTCAAGCAGGAATCAAAGCCAAGGGTTTCCCGACAAAGTATTAAAGAAATTTACTTTAAATTACAACATTTTTAATTTGAAAAATGTTTAAAAAAAATAACTACTTCAAGTATTTTTTTTTTGCCCGGATACTTTTGCACGCGCATATTTCAATAAAATGAACTTTTAATATTATATTGCTTAGATTTAGTTAAAATTCATTTGTTTTTAGAATTGGTATCAATTTTTTGACATTTCAGTGAAAATTTGAAAGAAACTGGACTTTTCATTCAAAAGTTATTTCAAGATTAGGCGCTTGTCCGGTTACTTTTGCGCTACTGGATATTTACATATATATATATATATATATATATATATATATATATATATATATATATATATATATATATATATATATATATATATATATATATATATATATATATATAAAATATATATATATATATATATATATATATATATATATATATATATATATATGTATATATATATATATATATATATATATATATATATATATATATATATATATATATATGTATATATATATATATATATATATATATATATATATATATGTGTGTATATATATATATATATATATATATATATATATATATATATATATGTATATATATATATTTATATATATATATATATATATATATATATATATATATATGTATGTATATATATATATATATATATATATATATATATATATATATATACATATATATATATATATATATATATATATATATATATATATATATATATATATTATATATATATATATATATATATATATATATATATATATATATATATATATATATATATATATATATATATATATATATATATATATATATATATATATATATATATATATATATATATGGTTGTGCAAAATGTAAATCCTCTCATATTGGCAAAACGTCTTGCCACTAAAAGACGCAAATGATGGAACACAACAGAAAGGATAAAAAATCTTTTATTTATAAGCATCTTCACTCGAAAGAAAAATTTTTTACTTAAAAAAAAGTGATAAATGCTTTTCGACTTTGGATTGTGCCAATAACAACACTGAATTAAAAATTAAAGAAAGTATCCAGTGGGAAAAAAGACATCTTTAGACGAAAAAAAGGCGTTTTTTTTTATGACTTTTTATGTCTTTTTATAATCAGCTTAAATAAAGACGTGGAAAGACGTCTTTTAAAAAGACGTTTTCAAAAAAGAGGTCGAAAAGACGTCAATTGGTTGTTAATAAGGAAATTATTATTTGCTTAAGAAAATTAAAAATAATTATTGCCAATAGAACCTAACAGAGACACTTTTTATAGCTTTTTTTATATGAAACGTTTTTGCATAAGAAATTTAGTTAAAAATTAACTTTTTTCGGTAAGCGGGTTTATTTAATATTTTATATAATAAAAGAATATATTATCTAAAAGAGGTTTTTTTTTCGGCATCGGAAAAACTTTTTGTCATACTTTGTATGAAGAGCTATTATCATTTTCATTTAAAAAAAATAGCTTTTCATATTAGAAAAGTAGGAATACTATAGTGTATAGGATACTATAGTATACTGATAAATATGGCAAAAAGTTGTTCAGACCCCGAGAAAAAACACTTTTTTAGAAGTGCATAATAAACAAAGACGGCTTAAAGACGCATTTTCAATGTCGATAAAAGATGTCATTTAGATTTGCATAATCGATTTAAAAAAGACGTCTTAAAGACATCGTAAATAAGACTTTTAAAGACGTCTTTTCAACGTCTTTTTTCCCACTGGGTGTTCATATAGGATGAGAAAAACCCGATTGAATAAACAAGCAAATCATGCTAAAATGACTCTTATCATTTAAAATAATTTACTGGTTCTTTTGTTTTATTTGATATTCGTAAAATAATTTATAATAATTCTTTTTGTATATATAGGAAGTTTGTTTTTAATTTTATGGCTTTATATATATATATATATATATATATGTATATATACAAGGGCGGTTCTCGGATTTTTTGGTGCTTGAGTTAAATAACTTTCAGGTAAGTTCTAAACTCCAAACTTTTTTATGCTCATACTTACGTCATTTAAGAATGCCAAAAATTGCGTTGATTAGAGCCTGGGAACAAAAATACCCTAAACAGCAGGCATCAACCGGCCAAATAAGAGGGGAAATGATTGAAAAAAAAAAAAGTTTCTTCCTTTAATAAAATTCAAATTTCTATCTATATTTAAAGTTTGAAAGTTTTAAAAAATCATCTAGCGTTTAAAAGTTGTAGCCATTTAAAGTTTAGAGCCCCCTCAAAACGAGGGGTTGTTAAATTTAACTGGGTATAATTTCTGAATAAAATAATATTTTTCAAAAAAAATTTAGAACCTTAACAATATTATTACCTAATTTAGGATATTATAATTTATATTTAGAAAAACCGATTTCCCCCACATTTGGGCAGGTGATACCTAATTTTTAGGGTTTTTTTTACTCCCAGGCTCAAATTAGCGCAATTTTTGGCAAATCATCTTTAAATGACTAAAGCAATAAGTTTAAATTGTTAATTAATATTTTATGTAGGTGTCTTTAGTATAAGAAATTAATTTAACTCAATGAGACTTGTTCTCAATGTTTTCAAAGTTTGAGCAACATATTTAAAGTTTTAATTTTGATTTCAATTGTACGTGTATTTTTTTTTTTGTTAATACAATTTACTTTGCTCTTTACGTTTTTCTTAAAAGTTTCACTCTTGAATAGTTTCCAGACATTTTCTATATAACTGAATTTAGATGCTTTACGTCTTCAATCCAATTGTAGAACTCTTTGGTCTGAAATTTTATATCAAGGTATGACTAGGAGAACCATTCTTCATGAATAAAAAAATTTACGACTCACTAAACCTCTGATTTCTTACAAAGTGTTGTTGTTTTCACTTATTAAAAACACTACAATAGAAAGTGGATGCCATAAATATTTATGTCTTTATTTTTGTTGTATTTTAATTTTTTTTTTTAAACAAACTGAACTTTATTGATCATCACTTGTTTTGTAATCTCATTACTAATCTCATAATTAATCTGAACCTGAAATAAAAGCTGTGTGATTTTTTTTTTTAATTATTTTTGAAGTACAGCGACTTATTTAAAGTTTAACTTTTTTTCTTCGTATAGCTGCAATATCTTTAGACTTTGTTTTATTCTATCATTTATTTAAAGGTTTTTTTCAGTTTTTTTAAGTCGTTAGGTTTTAATATTGTATTTTTTTTTATTTATTTTTATTATTATTATTTATTTATTTTGCCGTTGATAAATATTACAAAAAAGAAATAACAATAAAAGAAAATTCTGGCCGGAGCAAGAAGAAAACAGGTTGTCTTATCACCGAGCCCCGAGTTATTAAACTTGCCAATTATTTTGTAAAACATTTATTTTGAATTGGGTAATTATTTTCTTTAACTAAGAAGCTCTCCACGTTTTATCACTTGTATTAAACTTAGATTGTACTCCGGCACTCTTTACTACAATCAAATTGTATCAAAACACTCGATACCTTGAAACAAATTTTAAAAGTAAACATGTTTACAGTATTTTTCTACGACGTTGTTTTGACCATAATTTATAAACGCACCCACAGTTTGATATTTTTAATCTCAATTAACTTTGAAAAAAATGACTAATGGAAAAGTTGTCAAGAGAGATTGGCTTATTTATTCTCCTTTAACAGGTAAAGTGTTTTGTTATGTGTGCAAGCTATTTTGTTGAAAATAAGGTGGTGTTGATAAATCTTGCAATCAGTTTCGAACTGGTTTTAAAAATTGGAAAGGTGCATCTGCATAGATTACTTTACATGAGAAATCTAAAGACCAGATTGTGCATCTGCATAGATTACTTTGCATGAGAAATCTAAAGACCAGATTGATGCTCTCTCAATAATGTTGCTACTTCAAAAGTTGTTGCTGTTTCAAAAGTCCACTAGAATTGATGAAGAACTCCATAAAGAAAAAAAGACATTGTTTAAACAATAGACTGAAGTTTTAAAAAGAACAATTTTAGTTATAAAATTAATTACTGAAAGAGGATTAGCTTTTCGTTGTGAGAGTAAGTTGCATTTAACTGTCATAGTAATGGAAACTTTTAATTCTTTCTTTTAATTTAAATTGATCCATTTCTAAATGAACACATTCGAAAATATGGAAACCGGAAGAAAAAAATGTATCATTTATGTCATCAACTATATGCGATGAGTTCATTGATATATTAGGCTAATAGTATTCACGCAGATAATTTCTGAAATAAAGAACGCAAAGTATTATGGAATTAGCAAAGACTCAACTCCTGATATATTATGATCACATGTTTCAACGTACACTGGTTATTTGCTTTGTCATCTCAAATGTTGTGGAAATGTTTCTTTAGTTTATTTCAATTCAACATCACGATGGAAAATATTTGTTTGAGCTTGTAGTAAATACTTCATGGTATCCTTATTACGAATTGCAGGTCTATCATTTGGTAATGCTAGCAACATGAGTAGAATTTATTCTGGCGTACAAGTTAGATTTAGAGAGATCAACAGTTTAGCAGAGTGGATACCATGCAACCTAAATTAGGTTGGTTCATCTGCAATGTTGTTTAACAGCAGTTAACTATTTTGATATTGTTCAGTCAATGTATGCTTTTTTTCGGCTTCACCACAAAGATGGTCAAAATTTAAAGAACGAATTAATAATATAGCAAACGCTCCTGTTTTACAAAGTCTGTCAGAAATAAGTTGGTTAGCACCTAGTAGTGCTATAAAATTTATGCAAACTATATGACCTAGCATTGTCTGATATACAAAATCCAATTACAAAGAATGTGGAAAGCGCAAACATATGCAAAAGCGATTTCATGAAGAAGTTTTGGATTGTGATACTATTGATACAAAATATGAATTAGTGCAAATAGTCACAAGCGCTCAAAATGTAAATAATGCTCTTTGTATTTATCTTTTTTATTTACCTTTCAATTTTTTAAACAAGTTGCGAAGGTGAGCAATCTTTCTCAAAAACTCATCAAAAATTATCTTAGGTCAACAATGGTACAAGAACGATCATCTTCTCTTGCACTTCTTTTAATTGAAAATAATTTAATGTGAGAAATATCTCTTGAAGATGTTATTTGTAATTTTGCTCACGCAAAGAGCCGCAACCTTATACAATTTAGTCTATAATTCAGTCTACTGTATATAACTGCTTAAACAATTTCTAGTTATAACAGTGATTGATGTTGAATTTTGTCTTTTTTTTTCTCTCTTTTTTTAAATACTCAATATAAAAATGATAACAAAAATGTAATCAAATTTTTTCGTGGGCCCTAATTGTTCGTAGGCCCTAGGTTCAGTGCCTACTGTACCTACTAAATATATATATACATTATACGAGTATTAGTCTAATGTAAATATTTAATTTAAAAAAATTGATTAATATTATTAATGATTTGTATAACTGTATATTTAAATATATGATATATACTCATTGTACAAATAATACAAGTACTAAATAAACTTTACTGTAACTAAATGATGCATATCAAATTACGTTTAGAGCTAATAGAGCAAAATTATGCAAACCTTTACCGGTTGAACTTAAAACTTTAAATGCTTATAGACTCCAATAACATTAGGTTTTAATTTGAAAATAAAATTTTTGAATTAAGTGAAGACGTCGCAAGTTTTGCTTCTATTTTATAGAAATCTGTCATAGGTGTCGCACAAAACTCTCAGTATAATGAATATAATTTGATATTGAGCTCCAACTTCATTATGTAAACTGGGCTTAATTTATGGATCATATTAATTTATGTAATTTATGGAAAATATTCGGTTTAAGACCTGAGAGTTTGATTACTTATTTATTACGTAATAAAAAATGAACTCAAGTACAAGCCTTCAGATAGAATTAATCAATTCTACTCGTTAATTAATCTTGGTAGATAAGTTCATATACTACTTTATTTTTAGGTACTCCAAAAAGACCAAGCGGTCTTATCACGGAGTACCATGGACATTTAATTAAGAAGCGTCAAATATTCTTTTATTATTTTTTTTTTTTAAAGATTTTTTCTCGATTAATTTTGATAATTATTCTCCTTGATTCAAGCATGCTTTGATTTTGTTTAAGTACATTTTAACACTGTTAAAACTTTGAAGCTGTTTAAGTGTACTTCGAAGCCGTTTAAATGTACTTTAACGTTGTTTAAGTATACTTTTAACGTGTTCAAATATTTTTCCTTAGCAAAAAAAACTGGTTGATATAAACTAAAACTAAACCAGTTTAACTGTTTGCCTCCCTTTCAGGAATACTTATGAAGTTGAAGAATATTTATGAAGCTGAAGATATTATTGAAACTTTCAATAATTTTCGTGAAAATGAAAATTTCAATAATATTCTTTCAATGATATTTTATAAATAGTGTTAAAGAAAATAACTTTCAACTTGATTAGTGCTTTGAAACAAAATCGAGAGATGGAATATTGTTAGTTATTGTAAATCATATTAGATTAAAAATTTAGTCCATTTTACTAATATCTAATCTACTAATTTTTGAGAATCAAATTTCACAATAGAGACTTTGTCAATGTTATTAGAGAAGAGAATTTTTTTAAATATAACAAAATATAGAAAAAAATACCTAAATTACTTGTTTTGGGTACAATACAAGATACTTTGTCGTTAAAAAAGTCTACGCCCATGACAAGAGCGCTTATCATAAACATTTTTGTCATGAAAATTCGAACAAATTGATCTGTGTAACTATCATGCCTTGCTTTGATTTTGACAGAAAGAATGTCTTTTATGTTTCCGATGGAACCCATCAATTTTTAGTTTCTTGAAGATATAAAATGCGTAACTGAACTTAAAATATGTGAAATGATCATGATTTATAAATTAAAATAATTATGAAACTAAAATACTCTATTGATTTATCTCATTATAAAAACGTTTTTTAAAATATACGTAAATTTTTTTATTTAATGAAAACTTCAAACATCCGTTATGGAGTTTTTAAATTGAGATATTTAGGTGTTTAAAAGTCAACATATACTAATTAAAAGTTTTGAACGTTTTTTTATCTTTCGTTATTCTTTTGTATTTTTATTCGTTATTTTTTTTACCGACTTTTTAAGAAAATTTTGTGAAAAAAAGGAGCTTGCGTTTGTTGCAATATTCATTTACAGATATATGTATATATATATATATATATATATATATATACATATATATATATATATATATATATATATATATATATATATATATATATATATATATATATATATATATATATATACATATACCATTATTCTGCATAGAGATAAAATAATTTATTCTGGCGTACAAGTTAGATTTAGAGAACAGTTTAGCAGAGTGGATACCATACTCTGCTCACAACTTAAATTTGGTTGGTTCATCTGCAATGTTGCTTAGCTCAAACAAGTATTTTTCATCGTGATGTTCAATTGAAATAAACTGAAGGAACATTTCCATTTGAGATGACATAACCAGTGTACGTTGTAACATGTGATCATGATATCAGTGCAGCGAATAACCAGTGTACGTTGAAACATGTGATCATGATATCAGGAGTTCAGTCTATGCTAAATAATAAAAAAGTATACGTATTATTTAATAATAAAAAAATGTACGTATATTTAAAAAAACACTTTTATATAAAGATTTTACACTTAAATAAACTTTGAGAATACAAATCAAACAGAGTTATTCAAAAAAATTTTCTTTATTAAAAAAGTAAAAATTGGAGAGTCATTTTAACATGATTAACCTACTTGTTCATATCTATATACATAATTTCTTTTAATTTGAGTTCAAGTTTATTGGTAGAGGAATCTAATATAGAAAAACATTTATCCTTAAATGTGACGTAGCAACTTTTGTTGGCATATAGATGTTTAAAAATATTCCAATTTTTGTCTTTCCATTTGTGTCTTGAGGTGTCGAATGGTTTTGCTAATAAAGCAAGAATTTTATCCTGCACAAAAATTTAATAGACAGCAAATGATTTGAACTCTATTGGCAAGGGATCTTTAGGTGATAATATGTTGTAAATTTTAAATGAAGTGAATACTATTAAATTTTTGGGAAATGAATAACATCGTCTTTTAATAATTAAGTTTAACCTCTTTTTAGTTAAGTCCAATATTTGAGATAGATTAAAAATATTGAAAGGAATACTTCTTTACTTTTTTGAATTTTTAAAAAGTTATTTATATCAGCCATGTTTAGTGTTATTTATTAAAATATATTATCAATTAAGTTAATTTTTGTCATCTAAAAAGACTTTCTTTGTATACAAGAGAAGAACTCTGAATGCATTAGTGGAGCTAAGTAACCTATTAAAAACTTAGCAAGTTGATAGTTATACGTTTCGATAGATGAAATAATAGGTTCAATGTTGAATAGCTTATGTGAGCCCAATTAATAAAGTTTAGTATAAACAGTACAATTAAAAAACGTTTACAGTTTAATTTTTGTAAAAGATTCTGTTATTGTGTCTCTCTACTTAAAGTGACATAAATATTTTGGTAGCTAAAATTTAGTCATATCATTTATTATTTAATAAGTTCCCTCATCATTTCACACTTTTCTGTCTTGCATAACCACACCGTTTCCTATATCTAGTTTTAATATAATACTATCTAAGTTGTTTTTAAGTTATATATATATATATATATATATATATATATATATATATATATATATATATATATATATATATATATATATATATATATATATATATATATATATATATACACATATGTAATTCAAAAGCACTGAGAAAGTTTGCTAACAGTTCAAAAAACGTCTTAAAAAAATTATTATTATTTTTTTTTTTTTCAATGTTTGTAAATTAATTGACTTGACGTGTTCAAAGGAAAACTATTCTACTTATTCGCGTATTTCTCTCGGGTTTCTAGGAGTTCGAATATATATCCGCGATGCTCTGTAATAAGATCATAAGGACTTCTAGAATCACTTAAATAACTAAAGAAAAATAAAAGAAATATGCAAGAAACTTGGTTGATAAAGTTTTTTACGTAGTAATTGATATCTTTTATGTAGTAACTGATATCTGAAATTATTCTTTGATTCATTGGTAACCAATGAAGAGATTTTAGCAATTCTCCTAATTTTAAATGGAACGGGAAGTAATAGATAATGCGAGATAAGCTATATTTAGTACGTTGGAATTTTTTAGGTTTTTTTAAAAACTTGATATAAGACTGTTATAATAGTCAAGCTGAGAGTTGACAATGCCATAAGATATTGTTTTTCCTACTTCTTTGGTAAGACATGGACGTACGTGGAGAAGAGTATGACTTGGTAATTTCAGGATTTAAATGTGTTATTTATATACAGGTCCATCGAAGGTGTTGAGTCTAAAATAACACCTATGATTCTTACCAAGTTTACTGTTGTTAGTGTTGTACTAGATAATATAATTTTTAAATTTGCTAGTTTGTTTTCTAGATCCAAAGAAAATAGCTTCTGTTTTGTTTGGATTAAATCCCAAGTAAGAAAAGAGAATGGTTGTTGAAGTATCATCGATGTTCAACCAAATGTCATTGTATATCTTTAGGAGTTCTGAGTTGATTCGCTGAGTGATTAGATTTAAAATCAAATTGAAATGAAATAAAGTGGAAGTTACAAGTGGAAGAAGCCGAGATAAGCACCTTTATTTAACAATTTTGGATATTGTATTGAGATTTAATATGAGGCGCAGATCAGTAAGGTCAAATACTGTTAGTCTAAACTTTTTGGAAATTGCTTATTTGAACAATCTTGAATGAGCCAGAGAAATCTGCCATCAAAAATGTTCCTACCGATTTAGGTAATCAGCTTTGAAAAAACAAAGTTTGATTTTCTTAAATTAAATAAAAGTTCATCAATAAATTTCAAAAAAAAATTTTAAATCAATTTTGGTGCTGAAAAGGTATGAGCGTATAAAGTTTGAAATTCTTTCATTTTTTTTTTCAAAGATTTTTTCAAAGACAGTTTCAGAAAAAGTGTCAAAAAGCAAAAAGTTTTTATTTAATTTCAACGGTCTCTTGTTCACCTCAAGTCTTTATCGGGAAACCACTAATATAAGATATGTGAGTGGATTCACTAGATGATAATTTTAAAGTATTATTAATAAAATAACATTAATAAAACATATAAAACAAATTTGATTTTATTAAATCAAAACTCATTAAATCATACAAATAGCATTATTTTTTTTAATTTTCATTACATTTTATAGCGTAAATAAATATAGTGTACGGTTATCAAACTATAAATAAAATTAAAAGTGCATTTGTGTTTGATCGCCAGGTTTGTATCCTTTAAATAAATATAAAGGTTTATCTTTTCGGTATTCGTTTTTATTGTAAATATACGTTAATTTCTTCATTCGACCCTTGTCGGATGCATCTTGAGCAGAATGAAAAGAAACATCACGTCCAACTTTTGGGTTTTGATTATAGAAAGGATAATACTGGAGTCTACCTTTGATTGTCGAAATTTTTTGGTATTTGTTGTAATCGTTAATCTGACTGCTTTGAGATTCATTTTTTAATATATTAATATCGCTACTAATTTTGTCATCAGTGTCTTCGTTATCGTGAAAAGGCATTGAGTTGACTGACATAACCATAAATATGTTTAGCGCCAGAAATGCATTAAGAACCAACCTGATTAATTTGTTTGTCTTCTCCATATTTTATCTTTTATTATTATTTTTTTTTTGATTTATTATATCTTTCTATTATTTTTTATCTAAACTAGATCGAACAGTTTTCTAATTGTTTCAGTATGTGTTTATAGAAATTTAAAGTCATAATTTCAATGAATAAGAAAATTTTTTGATAAAGGTTCTATTGTGTATATTTCTTCCTCTTAATGTGAAATAGAATTTATTATTTCAGGAAGGAACTCTTTTTAAAACCAATTTCTTCTCATTGTATATAAAGTAAACATCTACAAATACGCAAAATTAAAAAATTAAAAAAGGAACTTACAAGGAAATAAAAAAACAAACCGTGACTACAAGATTAGGAAGTTCCTTTCTAATTTTAATAGTATAACTTCCATGTTAATTATTTATATGGAAAAAACGTTTAAGAAGATATAAATAGTTTTCGTATATTTATGACCAAAAATACTTTTGACTACCATTCAGAGATGTTACTTTGTTCAGACTGTTTTTTCTGCACAATTTCAATTAGATGTCATAGTAGTAATGTTTAAGTGAGTGAACATCGTTTAATTTTAGTTGCTGTTTCCTTATTGGATTCAATTTAACCCAATATTTCGTGTTGTCTAAAGAAACAAATTGAAATAGTTAAATATAACGATAGTGAAAAACCGAAATATTGTCCCATCACCCCGCTATCCCAACTGTGAGGTCAATAAAACAATAAGTTTTTTACAAATCTAAATTTACATTCGTTAACACATTTAAAGTTTCACCTGATATCCTTTTAGTATTGAAAATATGTTGTAGGGCGGGCTAAGCACCACAATGAAATTCTAGTTAATGAAAAACAAGAGTTAAAAAAATTTAATTCCTTTTTTACATTATTTTATCAAACATTTTACCAAAATAAATTTGTATTATTTTGGAAGTAATAACAAACTTGCTAAATAAGAAAAGATATAACTTTTTTTTTTCTAAATTATTTTACATTTTTCTAACTTTTTTTTTTTTTTTGAAAACTTTTAAGCTTCTCGTCATTTTCTAGTTTTAAACCTTTTACTCCCAAACAACTTTCTCCCAAACAAATATTTACACAAACAATTTTTTTTCTAATTTTGAAAAATACTTAATAAGTAATTATGATAAAAAAGCAGGCTGATAGTAGGAATTAAAAACAATGTATAAACAAAGATCTAAAAAATCTAAAAAGTAGAAAGCTGGCACTAGCGAAACGGTCTTTGTACTAGGGGTCGTACATAAGTTGCGTCACGCTCTCATAGGAAGGTAAGGAAGAGGGGGTAGAGTTATTGGTTTTGTGACGACCCTGTATAGTTTTAGTTTCACATTAAAACTGCCCTTAAGTAAAATCCTGGCTTATCTCAAAAGGGCTCGTGAATAAAACCCCGTATTACTTTTTAAATGTGTATTTATGTGTATACAAGTAAAATTTTCTATTAAAATCGGCTTTTAATTCAACGTCACAAAGTTTTTAACGTTACAAGGTTTTCGTACTTACGATTAAAATTTATAATTTATAGTTTCAATCATAACCCTGGGCTCCACAAACCACATTTTTGTTTAAACATTCTAATTTGCCATAAGCATAAATATTGTTAAGTTTGGAGCAGTTGTTGGACAGTGTTTAAAAGCGTCATATCTGAAACATAAAAAAAAACTTTCGCCGGGCCTGCTGGACTATTGAGCGTATGTTTTATCATGTAAGAAAAAAGTTTGAGAGTTTTCTGTGGTTCTATTTGTTGGATTGATATTGAAATTAACGCACCTAGTTACTTATGAACAACTAACATGTTTGTTTTTGGATACTTAATATCTTCTACGTCTATTTACTTTTGTGACGTCTAATTACGATTGTGACAACAATCTCACATAATTCCTATAAGTTACTGAAAATTTGACTTAGAACATCCAAATGTATTGCCTTTTATGCAAAGAATCCCTTGACTCCTCGAAAAATTGTAATAATATATGCTGTTTTTTTTAAACTCAATTTATTGTTTTTAATTCTGTTTTTTGCTTTGTTTTTTTTTTGTGTTTTTTTTTTTTTTTAGGTGCTCTTAGAAGTCCTTACGTCTTATCACGGAGCACCGTGGAAAAAGTATTTAATTAGAAGTTCACGCGTGAACTTCTAATTATATACTTTTTCCACGGTGCTCCGTGATAAGACGTAAGGACTTAGGTCCGACGCGATAAGACGTAAGGACTTAGGTCCGACGCGATAAGACGTAAGGACTTAGATTCGATTGGTAAAGAAGGAGGCGTGCACGGCTCCTTTCTTACCAATGTCGCATATTAGGCTGGAGCCGGCGTCGAACCTGGAACCTCTGGGTTTTGAGCCAGAACTTAAACCACTGCGCCACGGCTGCTTTGTTTTTACTTTAAAGGTTCGTCTCTGTGCAAGATAAACGTACATTTGCTCATTTTTGGCGGCTCGTTGTGGTTTCACATTTTTCCATCGATTTGTTCTGCTTAGTTTTATTTTTACTTATCTTTCTTTTTCTTTTTTTTTTGCACGTATCTAGAAATTAAAAACATTTATAAAATAACTAATTTTAATTTTAATTTTTTTATAAAAACATCTTTAAAGTGGTTTTTAAAATGTGGTTTTTAAAAATGGAAATATAGAAGTGGTTTTTATAAAATTCTTTTTCTTTGGTCCATATAACATATTTGTTTAATTAACTCCAGTATTTATAGAATAAAATAAATTAAATCTACAGTACTAACATTGTAAGGTGAGTATAACTAAATATGAAATCCTAAAACTAAATATGAAATCCTAAAAGTGAGTATAACCTTTTTATTAAGCGAAATGTTTCTATCTGAAACATTGCGTTTTGAAAGGTTTTTGTTTGAAAAGATTTCTCTTGAAAACTTTTGCGTTTGAAAGGTTTTTTTTTTTATATGTGTGTTTTTTTAAATAGCATCAAAAACAAAGCGTGCAACAGAAGAAAAGATGGGTTAATTAAACTTGTTAATAAAATCGCTGTTTATATCTTATACGTGTCTGACAAAATTTTTTCAGACACGTATAAGATATAAACAGCAATTTTACAATATCCTTTAACGTGTAAGATATAAACAGCAATTGTTTTACGATATTCTTTCAATATAATACACATTTTTGTTATGCGTTAAATATATTACGGAGTACGGTATACGTGAGATATATATATGGTATATGTCAAAAACCCTTAACAATATTATGCTGACATTGTATACATACGTTACAGTATAAGTACATTCTTTGTGACATTCTACTTGATAAGGGCAAAGTCCAGCGTTCTAACCATTACGAGATTCAGGAGCGTCATTACTGAGGATATAACCACACCATTAAAGGCTATTTCTATGACGGCCCTCTGTAATAAAATTGATTTTTAAAATAATTTGGATAAATTGTATATTTTTAACTTTTAACTTGTTTTTATATAACACGATAACTTTATTTTTACATACACAACACATAAAAAATAAACTTAAAAGCGTCAAGGAAAATAATAAATACGAAAAAAAAAACGCTTGCATCGCGCGGAAAACCGAGAAAAGTAAACATCAAATTCCTATTTCTTTTGACGTTGTAATTTCAATGAGAAAACATAGTTCTTTTTTGTTTTTTTAATATTTATTTTACTTTGTTTCTAATGTAAAATAGTTTTACGCTTTTTCTTTGTTTATAACTTTTTCTTTATTTTTACCGAAAAGGCTGAAGATCTTTTAGATGAAATTAAAAAAAAATAAAAAAACTTTATAAGTAACTTGTAACGACAAAAAAGGTATGATTTAAATCTATCACGTTATTATAAAGTAGTAATCCATTATGTTGTAACGTAACATTTCTCACGTTATTGCAAGAAATCGAATATTTTTCACGTTGTTGTAACTTTACATTCATCTATAGTAACAGTTAAAAATAACGAGTATCCTGCCTAAGATTTTTAGAAAATAAATACTTCAATAATTTTTGTATTTTTTAACTAAATACTTTTAATGAATTAATAAATTGTTTGAAAAGGATAATAAGTTTTTATAGAAATCCTAAAACAATCTATAAATCCTTTTCAAACAATTGTTATATTATACGTTATATGTTAGATATTATATGTTAAATGTTAGATATTATAATTATTGTTATATGTTAGAATTTCTAACATAAAACAATAAACTGGACTCAAAAAGAGTTAATGTAAAGTTCCTAATAATATAGGCGTAAATATACTTTGTAAAATGTATGCCTTTAAACTATTTTATAGTTTTCAATAAATACAACACCTTTAATGACCTTTAGAAGAATATAAATAATAAAAGTCAAAGTAACAAGATTGTTATTATAATAGTATAATACCAACAAGTTACTTATCTGACATTTATGTAATTTTAGATACTTGATTGTATACACACAAATAATACAATAAGTTATACACATGTAAACATTGGTATATATATGTAAAAACACATACTTTGCTTTTTATGTATAACAATTATATATAATAGTATGTATACATGTATACATATTTATACATATATTTATACATATGTATACATATTTATAAAAAGCAAGTTATGCATTTTTTATGTGTAAATCTTAATTTTTAAGATAATTTTATTGCAGATATTTTTTCAATATACTAATATAATTAGATTCATTTTTATATACCTTATTCTAAGAAGTGTTTTTTTAACATTATATCAAATCAAGGTCCGTTTTTAATACAAAAAATAAATCACATTTTTGTTTAAATTTCATGTTAATACATTTTTTCAATTTCTGTTTATAATTTTATTATACATATTTATATAATTTTTTAAATATATATTATGCAATATATAAATAAACAAACCACTAAAGTAAACAAAAAAGTGTTAAAACATTTTTATAATTATGCAGATATGAAGTTAGAATTTAGTTAGTTAAATAAATCATTTTTAATAAAAAAATTTAATTTTTCTGTTATGAAGTTAAATTTGCAAATTTATCATTGCTATATTCAAAACATTTATCTGGTTTCATTTTATATAGAAAGTTGTTTTTATATATTGCTAATGGCAGATGTTTAAGAAAAAAGATATTATCAAAACAATCAATTCTGACATACCCGCACGGTTTGTAAAAAAAGATGGAGTTGCTGAAGGTAATAATTTATAATTCTTATTAGTTTTTAATTATTTTTAAAAATAAAAATATGTAAAATTATACAAGAATTGTGTGAAGTTTATTATCAATGCATAAAAACTTATTACGATAATGTAAATCTGTGGTTTAAGATATTATTAAGGTAATTAAGGTGTTAAGATAAAATATTAGTGATGGGATCTTAGTAAAGGGCATCTTTAGATGATCTTACCCAGATTTGGCAATAGTATTCCATACAAGGATGGGATTGAGATTTATAGAGATAAAGAATAAAATTCGGAGTAAAAAAGTAGCAAGCACGATAAAGAAATGCAATCTTACAGGGATGCAGAGTCCCAAAAAGGACTCTGGATTTGAAAGTCAAAAAAGATTACTTCTTTCTAGTTTTTGGTATCCAGTAGCTTTAAAAATATTAAAAAGCTTATTGGCTACTAATCGGGATAAAATCAAGACTTATAGGTCAAAAGAACAATCAATTTTTAAACCCGGAGTCCTTAGGTATAATAGCGGCAAGGACTCCAGGACTCCAGGACTCTGGGCTTAAAAACAATAAGTTTCAGTTCTTTAAATACCATAAATTTTTTTCATATAGCAGATCATTAATCAACCAACATGTTTAGAGCTTCTGGACACCAGAGACCATAAAAAAATAAAGTTAAAAAGCTGGAGTTCTTTTGGAACTCCGCATTCCTGCAACCTTAGCAAGTGCTAATTTTGCAATCAATTTGATATGTGGTTTCGGTGAAATATCAGAAGTAAGAGTTAATCCTAGATGAAGGAATTAAAAATTAAATATCACTTTGTTTGTGTTCACCTTTGTTTTTTTTTTCAATATCTGATTTTTTTTTGTGTTTACCAAAATTATCCAAAGATAATTAGTTGATTTAAGATAGTATCTCATTGTAAAATCCAATTACATTGTTTGCACATACTTTTGTTACACTAAAAAAAAAAAAAAAATTAAATTTTAATAAACTTTTAAGTTTCAAATATCTATTGAAAATTGTTAAAGGTATTTTAAACATTTAGTATATTTTAGTAATTTTAACTTTATTAGTTATTATATGTTTAAAATACTTTAAAGAATTTTTTAATTTTTTTTTATGCAACCCAGTTTTATTGCCATTAAAATTAAAATTTATTTAAGTTTAATTTAATGCACATTTTTTGATGTACATACATTTACTGATAAATAGGTACTGTTGTAAATAAATGTACAGGCCTTCTCGTAAGAGGCGTGCCATCGCATGCCTTATACAGGCTTTCACAGGAAGACGTGCGATTTCATGTCTTTATATGACCACGCAAGTTACATTTTGTTATGACGGTTTGACCACAGCTAATTCAAAAAACATTTTAGAAACGCGCTAAATAAAAAATATTCTAAAAAAGTGAAATTAATTACATCAAAACTTCTTAACAAATGTTTTTATAATAGCGAAATGATTTTAAATAAAGTAACAATTTACTGAAAAAAAGTTTTGTTTTTTAAATATAATTGACAGTTGTTTATATTTTTTTAATTTAAAACATATAAATTGTTTAAATGTTCATTTCTAAAATAAATCTTATTAAAAAATAAAAAATTGTTTTGTTTTTATAAACGATGACATTCTACGACTACGAAAGTCTTCTTAACGAATTTTAATATAAGAATGATTAAAGTTAATGCATTTAAAAAGATAAACAAAACTTTGTTAAAAAAAAAAAATTTAGAAAACCATTACAATTTAATATGTTTGATCTTAAATGCTTTTATATTATCGAAACGCTTTTAATGAAGTAAAAAAAAAAACACTTCTAATTAATTAAAAAAAAAAGTATTTATAAAATGTTTTTTTATTTTATTTATATAACTATGTATTTTTTATGAGAAATATTTAACTTTTGAACAAATTAAACAAATAAAAAATATATAAAAATGTTGAAACAAAGATTGAAAAGGTTTTTTAATGCGTAAATTAATTCAAACTAAAATGCTTTAGTTTGATGAGTTTTGTTTTAGTTGCGTTATATACATATATATTTATTTTTTTGTGTTTTTGCTTTAACTTAGTATTTTTTTTTATTTTCTCTTTTGTTAATATTTAATATTTAAAAAAATTTTTTTTTTAGATAAGTTTAGGTAAGTTTTTGTAGCTCGTTTTTAAATTTTAAATATATGCCGTGGTCAAATCGTTAAAAATTTTTTTTTTTTTGCGTGGTCATATAAAGACATGAAATTGCACGTCTTTCTGTGAAAGCCTGCTTATATAACCATGCATATTAGGGTGCATCACCACATTAGGGCAAAAAATTAGTTGTTTATTTTTGAGCTGTCTGTGTTTCCAATGTGAATAATAATAACTTGAGTGAAATATTTTCCAAATCTGAGTAAGTTTAGAGGTCCCCCATGAAAATTTGAAATCAAGGAAACCAACCGCAAGACACAAAGTTGATCGACTAGTAAGTTTTTTCATAAAGTTCAATACTTATTGTCCTTTAATGAGAATAATGACTATAGTAATAAACCTAAATTGTTTTAATTGTATAATGAAGGCAACTGAACAGATAAAACCAAATTGAGTTCACTAAAATCATTTTCTATTCAATTTTTTCTACAAAAAGCACAAAATCATTAACCAAAAAATGCAAAAATCATTGACTACTATGACTAATAGTCAGTTCTTTTTTAATAAAATTCAATCCTCATTGCAGTTTAAGGTCTAATTAATGACTAATTAACTATAGTAATGAATCTTTATTTGTTTTAATAGTAGTAGAAAGATGTCAAATGAATTCAAAATTAGATGAACTGTTAATGTTTATTCCTTCTTGCATCGTTAGCGTCGCAAATTTGGTGTCTCTTTCCGATCTTTCTCGACCACTTGAAGAAGGTTTTGATAATGCTCATCCGATCGTGCAGTTTCAACAAAGTCCGATGCCAGCTTGACACCCCTCTCGGCACAATCATTCACCACGTTCACTGCTGCACAATTTTCAACACTGGCAATGTAAGCATGTGTCTTTTCCCATTCATCGACCCAAAGTTCCAGAAAGCTGGTGCCTAATTGTAGATGGTAAACTGTAAACCAGGAGTCAACCCCAACCAGATCACTCAGTTGTGTTCTATGATCAATGGACAATGGAAAATGTGGCTTGCCCCATCCGTTGCCAAATCGATTCATTGGAGCTTGCAGATCAATTGATGGTTTCAATTTGAGCAAGGCATCTGCAAGAGCTCGTCGTTCCGTTGATGGTACAAGCTTACTGAACAGTGCAAGTGGCACCATTTCCTCAGTGAGATACCACAGGTGCCGATTCAGAGCTCAAATTGCTGACTGCGAAATCACCTTGTCCACAGTCTCGTACTCTAGTAAATGTTTGTAAAGCTGTAAATCATTGTATGGGGAATCAACCGTGTTCCTACATGTGAGCCACCACACACTGTAAACATGAGTAATAAATGTAGTGAATGCTCGTATCTTCGGCACTTGGTGACGAGTAGTGATAGTTCCTGCTGGTAGTTCCGCAATATGTTTCTCTAGAAGTGCAATTTTCAGGCCGTTGATCAGCTTTGCCATCCAACAAGCCTTGTGAAGAGCACCTGGCCTTCGGAATTTTACTTCAACCTTGGAAGAAGATAAATAAACAAGTGTGAGCTCTGTGAATTCACGGTAGTCATCACGCAGGCAATCTACATCTTCAATTGCACGAGCGATCACCTCATCCTTCATCTTCGACAGCAGCTGTTGGGCCTCCACGTCATGATCAGTTGGACAAAATGGCAGTATCTGAGATGAGTCGTGTGGCACTAAATTCCAGTTACTTCGTAGCCTTGTGAACACTGTGACTTCTGGTGACTTTGATGCTTCTATCTTGAGGTCAGTAAACACGTGAGATAGAAGTACTTCACCAATGTGATGACGACATCCTGACCAGAGGACAGCACGTTCCAGCTTATCTTGAATGGCAATGCAAGCTGCAGTTAGGTGACCTGTATTTGAGCTCGTTGTGTCGAATGTCATATTAACAATTCGATCATTACAATGCCTCTCGATCATTAGGTTCATTGTTAGCTTGGCAATGATTTCTCCAACAGATTGATCTGTACCCTTGAAGTAACTAGGCACTCCCAGTAGCTTCAACTGCAATGCATCACCAACAACCACCGTCATACGTTCTTCAGTGACACGATTATTTGTTAGAGTTGGTGTCAGCTTTCCATCTCAATGCAGAGTACAGAGTTTTGGTGGTTCCCAGCTGTTGTGAATTTCTATAGAAATTTCGCGTACAACCTTGCGTCGTGCGCGATCTGCAGTTGCATACGAAGAAGCAACCATAGATATATCACCACCAGACTCAGCTATGACTCCTTGTGTGAATGCAGATTGTTGTGTTGGCGTCATCTTCAGACATGTTGCTGATGACACAAGGTTTGGTCGGCTTAGCAAATCTGGTGGTATGAATGACAATGTTCCTTTCGGTTTTATACGGTTTGGTTTTTGTAGCTCCATTTCTTTTGATGGAGATCTAAATTCTGATTCCATGTCATCTTCAGAAGCAGACTCGCTTGACTCATCACTACATTTGTCAGTTACAACTTCTGGCAACACAGTCTTGGTTGATGGTTCAATCTCACCACTAGCACGCTTCAGGCGTCCTAATGCTGCAACATCACTACAATGACGTCGATTTATCTTCTGAGCAAGCGCCTTGTCAAATACCCCAAAACTTGCGGCTCTATCAGTTTTCATTGACTGCAGGAATGCAAGATCTTCATCATTGTTCATAAAACTATCCACGTTGGCCGGCCAGAGTTGGAAAGTTGTTGCCAACATGGACTGCATCTCAAGAAGCTTGTGCTGAGTTGTAGGTGTTTCACAACGACTTTTATCGATCGAACGAAGTTTATTGTTATCATCAAGAAGTTTCACTATTTTTTCGCATGCTCTACGCTCGGTGACCATTGGGATATTGGCTTTTTCATACAAAGCTTTAACCTGTTTCAGAACTATCTTGGCAGATGTGAATCTTGATGTTGCACCGAGTGATCCTGGTCGCTTACCATGGGTAGCCTCTTTACTGTGATACATCATGCATCTCAAAACTTGCAAGCAGGTTGGCAATCGGATACCAGTGATTAGTGCATCATCAGCACAGATTGCAGCACCTATACCAAACAACTCTGTAGCTCTACGAGTCTGTGGCTTCTTTTTTGAGTCCAAGACAGGAGTATTTCGGCGACTTGCACTACCAGATGATGACGAATTATCGTCAAATTTGGGCTGCTTAGGTGTTGTTGGCTCAACTTCAGCTTCAACTGCTTCATTCATGTTTTTTAAGGAATTAGGGTTCTAAAAAAAGAGAATAGTGTTGTAACTGTTTTTATTAAGTTATGAACTTGGTTTATCAAATTAGCAAATTATTTGAATATTTTGTGTAATTTATTATTCATTTTTTGGAATATTATTTGAATTATTATTTATTGGATTGCACAACATTACAGATATTTCACATTGCTTAGGTAATGCCTAACATGTCGCATAGGTTTAACTATATATATACAGTATACATTATACAATTATAGTATCTACATAAACAATGAATTACTGATTTACTGCATGTAATTTGTATATACACAAAATAATGCAGAAATTAATATATTTAATGGAATTGTAAATTTACCAATTGTCACTGGACTGGGTTAACTAATATATAATTAAATTTTATTTTGATTTTTTGAGCAGACTTGACTATGTTTATAAAATTACATTTTCAATCATGGTAGCCAAAGAACATAAATATAAAGACAAAGCTAATAATTATAAAAAAATTATTTAGCACTTAATTTTGGTAAATAAGGTGAAACTTGTTAGGGCATGGGGAACCTCTAAATATTGTCTAATAAAATTTATTTTTTAACACATTGCATCTTTTGGTGATTGGAACAACTTGAGATAATAGACAGATCAATATTAAAACTTTTTTTTTTGTGATGCACCCTAATGCATATAGCTCTTTGTTTTAACAACTTGACTACGGCGCATTGCAAGTTTTGATAATTAGCGTGTTTAAAAAATGCGCTAAAAAAAATAAAGATAATTAAAATTAAAATCCATAAACCATAAACTAAAAAGAGAATAAAATCCTTAAAATAATTTATATAACAAAAATTAGCCTAAAAAAAGTAAATTATTTAAAAAATTATAAAATAAATAAAGGAAAAACCAGAAAAAAAAATCAAAACATTTATTAATTTAAACTTAAATGTAAGCAAAAGTGAAAAAATGACAGTACTAATAATCTTTATCATTTCTTCCCATGAATAAATAGGCTAATACAAGGCGGATCCATAGTGAGGGAAAGGGTCATTAAGTTTAAAATTTTACTAAAAAGTTAATAGGATACAAGGTGCAACAAATCGACAAATGTGCGTGCATTTTTTAAAAGACAGATAGAAAAACAAACGCGTTTCTTTAATTTTGTTTATGTTGCCGTTTGACTAAGATTTTTAAAAATGAACGCATTACTTCAAAATAATTTTAATGATCAATAGTTTTTTATTTATTGCAAAAAACAAATATTTAAAATGAATAACAATTAATTTCAGAGATTTATTTAAAAAAATGCTAAAACATAATTACTTTTTTCAATAGTGTCACTTTTAAGTAAAATAACTAAGTACGCTATAGAAAAAAGTAATTATGTTTTAGTATGGTTTTTGCATGCGCTCACAAAAATATGCATAATTTTGCTTAAAATAAATGCTTTTGCAAAAACATCAAAAGAAACCTTAAATTAAAAATTGCATTTACATTTGCTTTGTTTTTTTTAACGCATTTTTTAAACGCGCTATTTATAAAAACTTGCAAAGAGCTGTGGTCAAGTTGTTAAAACAAAGAACTATATGCGTGTCATATAAGGCGTGCGATCGCACACCTCTTACGAGAAGGCCTAAATGTACATACATCTACTTACAAATTAATATTGGCACAATTAAATGTACACACATTGACTGACAAAAAATAATTTGTATAATTAATTGTATATACATTAAGTAACCAATAAAGATTGGCACAATTAGATGTACATGGTTTTGGTCAGGGTTAGGGTCACAGTTTTGCTTTAAAGTGTTGATAAAAACCAGGTTTTTTAAAAGTTATTGAAGAGAAATTTAATCAAAACTGAGTAATAAAAAGATAGCAAATATTAGCGTTTTTAGTTTAATTTTTTAAAGTTAAACATCAACCATCAACTTTTATTTCCTAAAAGTTTTTAGACTACTGTTTTTATATAATTCTGTAGAATTAGTATAATGTATTTATTTAATTATTTAATAAATAATATAATAAATATATAATAATATAATATAAAATAATAAATATAAATAATAATTGCATTTATATAATTCTGAATCAGTATAATGTATTCTATTAACCAAAAAAAGCAGAGGGGGGATTCGAGTAGTGTCGATAGTTCTAGAAAAAATGAGACACATGTTAAAAATGAAAAATAGTTATAAAGCTCTTAATTAATTCCTTTGTGATCATTTGTAAATCAAAGGGGACCACTGTGTTGTGTTTAAAAAACTATAATTTCTAAACCGTTGTATTTGGAAGTCTGAAATTTCTAACTAAACCTTTCTACATAATGCACATTATAATATGTTAAAACCAGAAAAACCAGAGATGGTTTCCTACAGAATATTGGTTAAAATATAATAACCTAACTTATAAAAGTAAACTATTTAAATAATTTTGATACTAAGCAATCAAAATTGTTTATACATTATTTTGATAATTAAACATTAAAGTTATTTTAATTTTTTATTTTTATTTAAATCTAATCAAGTTCATATGGTAATTAAAACTGTGGTTTATTGAATTGTGTTATTATGTTCATTGAGTTCGTTTTAGTGTACATTATTTTAATACTTTATCAAAATTTAAGCTAATACTTTGAGATATTTTTCAATAGATTTAACAACTAGTTACTCAAAAAAAATTTCAGATGTTCTTAATAAAAACAGATGTTTTATGAATTATGTTTAATTAAAAATAAATTATTTTATTATTTTAAAATGTATTATTATATTAAAAAATAATTGAATTTACAGATGTTTTATGAAGTTTTTATAATTAAAACTAGTTATTTTATTATTTTGAAATGTATTATTGTATTAATAATTTTTTAATTTATAGATAATATGGTTGGAGCGATTCAAGCACCAACCAGAAAGCAAAAAACTCCTATTCCCTTTCGAAAACTAAATTTTCCTCCAAATGACATCTCCATTTTGCGCTACCCAAAAGATAACAAAATTCCTTCGGATGAAATTTCTGAATCATATATTTCAAATAATTGTCATAATGTTGTTCACCAAAAAAATATTCGACAACGATTTTCCCCTTCATTTTTGCTGTTGCGCAAGAAAAAGCACCCTTCGGTTAACAATTGTGATTTAAATGGAATTATTAAAGAAGAAGATATGACTGATATTGTTTGTTATAAGGATGTTGCAGAGCATGAGTCAACTAAATCAATAACGATGAGTCAACTTGATGATACACAACTTCATGTGATGGATTTAGAAGCATGTGAAAGAGAATATAAGGCAAGAATGGAGTATATAATGAAAAACTATCGACACCCACCACCCTATCAAATCAAAAAGCAAGATAAACCCAAAATTCCAGCAGCTGATACCCCTTTAATCAGTAAATTGCTAAAGGAAACACAACTAAAAGATAATACTAGTATGAATAATTACTGGCAATCCAATTTAACATTAGACAATGATATTCCGCAAGTTAAAAAGAAGTTATCTGTTAGTGATAAACTTGTAAAAAGAACCAGGGAGCAAATTAATTTAGCTCATAACAATAACAATAACAATAATTATTATAACAATAATATCAACAAAGTTTCTTATTTTAATGTTGTAGACAATATGCAGAGGTTCTCTAAAGATAGAGATACTATGAGTGCAGTATATGGGGATCAATATAACCACAATGAGGCAACAATGAGGGGTTGCTCTTCTGTACCTAATTTATCTATACAATATGAAAACTCTCTTGAAAGTATAATAAATGCACAAAGAGTTCAACAACCCAGAGGTGAAAAATTGTTTTTTGAAGTTACTTAGTAAAATTTTAATTTTAATATTAATTTTTATCAGGACAAATGGAAATGTTATGTTTGAATTATTTTGCTTAACCATAACATTTATTTTTATACATCACATTTATTTAAAGTATTTTATTATTTTTTTAATTTCTAAATAAAATAATTAAATAAAAATGAAAAAAAAAAACGTTTTATATTTGTTTTTTGTGTAATTCATTTGCTCAGAATTTAAATTAAATGTTTATTTTGTTGTTTTTATTTTCATTATTTTATTCATATATATATATATAGATATATATATATATATATATATATATATATATATATATATATATATATATATATATATATATATATATATATATATATATATATATATATCAGGCCTTGTTACGAGATTTCGCTGCGTAACGGAAAAGCGAAACGTGAATAAATGTAACTTTACCGAATAAAGATATTTACATTGTTAAAAGTTAAATTACGTCAGTTGCGTTTTTACTTTATTGTAATTAAATTTAAAATGACAATAAAAACAATGGTTTTTATTTTCATTTATTTATAAAATAAAAACAATGGTTTTTATTGTCATTTATTTTTATTGTTAGTCTTAGAATCGAAATAGCTTTAAAACGAAATAGCTTTAAATTGAACAATATTGTTATAAAAAAAACTAAAGTTTTAATGTTGATTAAAAAAGTCTTTTTGTATTAAAATCTTATACTTATTTAAACATTATTTTTTTTGCTTTCAAACATTCGATTTATAGTTTGTTTTTTTTTATTATTATTTTTTTAAATAATTTAAATTTTTATTTATTGATCGCGTTATTTTTAATAGGTTTGAATTTTGGTTTGTTTAATAAAAAAAATTCTTTGGCAAATGGCTAAGGGAAAACCCAAACATAACATTTATAACTCGAGTTTAAAAGAACTTTTTTGTATTGGCGTTATTTATTAACTTGTAGTTATAAAATGAATAATGCGCTTCTGTAAATAATGAATGAAACTGTAAAATAATGGGAAAAGAATAACTAAAAAATAATGCGCTTTTGTTCAGCGTATTATTCAGACCAGTATTTGAAACTGAAACTTACCTGAAACTTAACTGAAATTAAAATAAAATTATATGTAATACGAACATTTTAAAGAAACTTGAATTAAATTTATTAAATCTTTTTTTACTTTGGAAATTTTATCATAAAAAAAAATTGTAAAACAGAGCATTTTAAAATTAAAAAATTTTTAAATGCTCTGTTTTAAAATTAAATAAAAGAATTTTAATTAAATTTAATAAATTTATTTACTAAAAACTATGATTAATAAAAAAATATATAAATTTGATAAAATAAATTAAAAGTATTTTTTTTTTTTGTAACTTGAATGTTTTTAAACTTATGAAATATAAAACTTCAGAAAAATTTCCCCTTCAGGGGGCAAAATAAAAGGGGCAATTTTTGCCCCCTTTAAATAATTTGCCCCCATTAAATAAAAGGGGCAATTTTTGCCCCCTGAAGGGGCAAAATTTGCCCCTTTAGGGGGCAAAAGGGGCAATTTTTAGGGTGTTTAGTACTATTTTTAAAACTGTTTATTTTAGCGACTTTTTTGTTATATGTTGTAATTCAATATAGCTTAGTACATTATCTGATGCTCCAAAATAAACCTGTCATTTAGACATCTTCGTAAACTGTACAGTTTTTCAGCCATATCACCCTATTCTTTATCTGCTAGGGCAAAAAAACTATTATTTAGAGTTATAAAATATTAGTGATAAATTATTTAAGATCCTCGGTCTTTTTAAAAATCAAATAAACCTGGGACAAATCTATATAAAACTATAAAATAGAATCTGCATATGTCAGGCTTGGTCGGGAAGCGGGTGTTCTCTTATAAGACTTTTATACGATCGCATTCTATAACTGACTACAAAAATAAGATTTAGTTGCGAAAAACCCGCCAGATTTTTTAGTCGTTTTGAGAACATTTAAGTTAATGTATGTTTCCTTGTTTGCCCGCAAAATAATCAATATTTTATCGTAAATTTTAAAATATTTTGTTTTATAGACATACATGGAAATATACATAAACTTGATGGTCTGTGCAGAAAAATAAAAAAAGAATATTCCCGAAAACAAAAATCCTGCCAAATCTATGAACTAATTCTAATGGTTCAAAAAATCTATGAACTAATTCTATTGGTTCAAAAAATACTTAAATTGTTTTAAGAATATACTATTAAACTATTTTTTTTAATTCTATGGCTCATTCTCGGAGCCACATCTACAAAGCTATAAATGTTTTAAACTAAAATTATTTGTTTACAAAAATAAATGTTTTAAGTTTATATTTTTTAACTTGTCAAAGTTTTGTAAATATATAATAGATTGTATTAGTATATTTTTATTTTTTATATATAAGGGCTGTATTTGTTATGTATGTAATGTATTTTTATGTATGTAATGTATTTTTATGTATATAATGTATTTTTATGTATGTAATGTATTTTTATGAATGTAATGTATTTTTATGTATGTATTTTTTACGAATGTAATTTTATGTATGTATATTTTATTCAAATGTAATCTTTTAAAGCAATTTGTGCGATTGATTTTGTAAACAAAAATACTTTCAATAATAACTGCGTTTTCAATGAAATTATTAATAATCATCAAAGTTAATATTAAAAAAGGCGGACGTGTATTTCAGGCACCCCCCTTTAGTAAGAATTTCTACAGTAACTCAATGATTTAATCATTTCAAGCTATGCAAAGCATAAAACAGTTATTGAAAAAACTTTTTTATTTATAAATCATCTAGTATTAGTTTATTGTTTTTTATTTATAAATAAATCATCTACTGTTAGTTTTATTGGTTGAATCTTGTTGGACTTTTCAGGGCCGGGTGCTGCATTATTTAGGTGGCCTTTTTCATGTGCCACAGCGTAAACACGACTAAAAAAAATACTGAATGGTTCTCTTGACTATTTTGCGCTCCCTAACATTGTGAGTTCCCAGGCTATAGCCCTTTTACTACCTCTTCCCCCCCCCCCTCCTCAAATTAGTAATGGAAATAAGACATAAGTTTATAAATAAAAATTATATATACTCTTTGATAAATCGAAAAACATTTGTTTCCTTATTAAACAATCATTAATAGTAAGTTGTTACTTTATATAATAAATGCCGCTTAATTTTATAAAAAAAAATTATAAAAGAGCGATGTTTCAAAAATATTTGCTCTAATCGTATTTATTTTGCCTAAAGTTTTTTCGCCTTAAAAGCTATTTTTCTTTTTTTAACTGTCTCTCATCGGTCCAGTTAATCTTATTGCTCTTTTTTGTTTGTTTTTGAAATGTTCTTAAAATGACTAAAAAATCTGGCCGGTTTTTCATAACTAAATATTATTTCTGTGGTCAATTATCGAGTGCAATCGCACCGGCTTGCCGACCAAGTCTGATATTTGCATTCTTGATAAAGAAGACAATAAAAAATAAATGTTTAAACTTTTAGTAGATGGGAATAAATACAAACCTTTATAGTTAGACCCTACTAAAAGTATATTCAGATCTGTAAATAATCTAATTAAATTAATTGCCCCGTGCCAATGCGTATCATAAGGTTACATCGAAGAAAAAAATTGCTAAATAAAGGCCTTTTTATATGAAAAAAAAAAAATACTTGCTAATAAAATGAAATTTAAAAAAGTCCTCAAGTTTTGATTTTGGGTGGCTTCCAAAACTTGCCCAAATATTTTCAAATTGATCAAAGACAATATATTTGTTTCCTAGCCTTAATCATCTCTGGCAAAACTTAGATAATCTAAATCATTCTTATATAACTCTGCTGATAGATTTTTATTTAACTTTGGTGTGCTTCTTTTACATCTTTATACCAAACACTCATATCTTTTATCTCTTATCTCAAATACTCATATCTTTTATCTCTTACCTCAAACACTCATATCATTTATCTCTAGCTCCTAGTCTAAACTTTCTTTCACCAAGCTGGTTTTTTAAAAAAGCAATATCTTCCTCTTTGTCTTTCATTATTCTTACTTTATCTTTTAATATTTCCTCAAACAAAACATGAAGATGTTCTCCAATCCAAAATACTTTATTGATTTGCTATTCAAATAAATATCTTTCATTTATTTCAACAAAATTTGTTCTGTATCTTTGTTCTTTTAATTTCATCTACTCCTTCAACAATTCCTTAATTTTAATCCTGTAAAAATATTATTCAACAGTAAAAAAGTTTATAGATTAAAATGCTTTAGAACTCATTGAAAAAATTACCTAAGCTTCCATATTGTAAGCACTTTAAATCCATTAAATATCTAAGAAACTGTAAGTTTGGACAGTATACAGCAGTCAGACTGATCAAATGTGCAATTAGGTATAAAAGAAAAATTTTTAGTAGGAAAACCTTTATTTGCTTTGCTATTTGTTGAAATAGTAGTTACAAATTTCTCTTTAGTAGTTACAAATTTCTATGCCAAGGGTTTTTTGATTAACTTTTCAACTAAAATTATTTTATCCCATCTAATTCTTAAATTTTTTTTTTTTTGGTGGCATTAGTTTTATGAATATATAATTCAAAAAATAAATTAAATATAAAATGTATTTCAAGAAAACATTTTGAAATATATAACAAATTGAAAAAATTCAAAACTTTATCAAAAAAAGTGTAAAAAAATATTTTTATTTGTTAAACATTTATGGACAATAGGGTTTTTTGAAGCAATTTTTATAAGTTTAAATTTTTTTTTTGAGAATAGAGCCCATTTTATTTTGATTAAATAAGTCTTTACTAACATAAATATATTTTTAAAAATAATGTTAAGACTTTCTACAATTAGTTTTAAAAATGGTACAAAACGCCCTAAAAATTGCCCCTTTTTCAACTTGAAGGGACCCTTGGATTTTCAAAAATAAAATATAAAAATCTTTAGTACTAAATCATGGTCTGGGCAGATGATAAGCTACGGCTCTTTCTTTTTTTCAGACATGACCTTTTTTTGAAACACCCTTATATATATGTGTGTATATATATATATATATATATATATATATATATATATATATATATATATATATATATATATATATACATATATATATATATATATATATATATATATATATATATATATATATATATATATATATATATATATATATATATATATATATATATATATATATATATATATATAGACACACACACACTCACACACACAACCCTTGGAATTAGGGTTGGCAATGTCGACCTAACTGCTGACCTGAAAGTGTTTGAGGTCAGCACAAAATTTGGAAGCAGGGTTTGACAAACAACATGCATGCAAATGTTTAGCATAAAAAAAAAGACAGAAAAACAAGCACCAAGTTCACTGACTTTCAAATGTTGATGTTTGGTGTGTTTAAGTTTTGCACTTCTTATTTATATAAAATAAATATTTTGAAATTTAAATAGAATGTTTTGCCATTTTATATTTTAATTATTTTATTTAGAAATTAAATAAATGTTGTGTTTCCTGTTGTTTTTTGTTTAATTAATTTGTTCAAAATTTAAATAAAACATTTCTTTTGTTATTTTTATTATTATTATTATTTTAAATCTAAATAAAGCGTTTGTTTGGAATTTTTAGTTTATTTTAGTTTATATTTGGTCAATCTTAAAACAAAGATGACTTATAATTATTATTATACAATAAAAAATATATGCATTTAAATATATATAAATAAAAAATATATATATTTTAGTTATGATATTTTGGTATCGCTAGATTGCTGTTTAACAAATAAGTGAACTTTAATTTGGTTGCTACGAGTTTCTTTTTTTTATTTTTTGAAAAAGTAAATAAAGCCAGTTACTTTAATTACTTTCAAACCAAAATTCATCTTTTTTTATACAGTAAACTGGAGATATCAATAAGTCAAAACCCTAATATATTATTGTTGTTGTTGTTGTTGTTATTTTAGCACACTTAGAACCTGGGGAACTTGAACTTTTGATTTCACACTATAGAAAATCAAGGTATTTTTTTAAGATGAATTTAATTTCTCTTGTTTGAAAATGCAGTTAACTACATTGGTCTGCAATTATTTGAGAACATGGTTTGTAAGCTTGAAATAGCTTAGCAAGCCATATACCTCAAAGTATTTCTTTTTTTGAAAGCATTTTTACTTCATCTTTTCACTCTTGCTAATTTATATCTATGTTTTAAACACAGAAGAGAGTATTTATTTTTCACACAGAATATTCATATTAGGAAGAATAAGTGAACTAAGCAATGAAATTATAAAAGACATTAATTTTGTAATAATAAATTGCAAAAAAAATAAAAATCAAACACTCATCCGCAGTTATAACCTTTGTAGTATATAAATATGTTGAGCATAATCTTCTACTACATAAAAGTCTTTTTCCTTCAGTCTTTGTATATTTCACTATTTATATAATATATGCAAAATTGTGCTTTTAATCAGCCATTTTGATTCCTTTATATAATAGTAGCACATTCCATTTATCTACAAGAGAGAATAATTTTTAAATTATTATGTTTTTTAATCTGATTTTAGTTTAGACATTTTAGCTCCTGATAGTGCAAACAACTATTTTACTCCTGATAGTGCGAACAACCATTTTACTCCTGATAGTGCAAACAACTATTTTACTCCGTATCTTAAAGAATCTCCTTCTTATGTTCCACCAAGTGCATATCTTAATGCTGGTGAGTTGAGTAATTCGTATATTTGTAAAGATAGTATAACATTGTTGCTTTTTATAATCTTTTAATACTTTCATGATGCACAAGTTATACTTTCATAAGCATAAAATTCAAGCTTGTTAATTTTTCTAAAGAAAAACTTAATAAAGTTTACTTGCTTTTTTATTATTATTTTTTCGTTTTTTGGTTAATATTGTTTACTTGTTAATATTTGTTAATATTTCCTTGCTAATATTTGTTGAAATAAATTGATTTTTTTTCTTCTGTGTACTTTTTTCAGTTTGTTTTGTAAGTAATGATTAATTTAAAAAAAAATTAAACAAGCAAAAAAAAGATTAAATTATTTGTGCCACTATGCATATTGGAGGCTACTTTTTAGATTTAAGTTTATCTAGTGAATATAAGGTGACTATTAGTTTGAAACTAGTAAATCATGTTATTAAATTATTCTCTTGAAAGGTAACCTGTTTGTATTGTTTTTAAAAATCTAGTCAATATATTGTTAAATCTGTTAGATACATCAATAATCAATTAATAACTGTTACAATAAATCATTATTCTAATGATAACTGTTACTAATGATAACTGATGTATTAAATTTTTTACATACAACTTCTAGAAATCCCGGATTGGTTACAAGTATATGCAAAAGCGTCTCCTGATCTTGACAAATATTTAAAGGTGAGGGGTGATTGATTTTTCCATTCATTTTTACTTAAAAGTAAAAATATTTAGCCTGTTTAAAAATTTGTATTCTTTAACAAATTTTTTCTCAAAAGTTTTTATCTATTTTGCTTCTTGTTTTTTTGTTTTTGTTTGTTTGTTTGTTTATTTTATACATCTTTTTTAACTTAGTGGGAAATGTTTCGCTATCCAGAATTAGATTGTTGGCAAACTATGCTTAAACGACTCTACAGAAAAGAAGTTGAACAAGTCGTGCTTTGGTATGAAGAATATAGAATTGCGCTTCAGCAAGAAGTAGAGAGACGAAGTATTTCTTTTAAAAAAACTCATGTTTAAGTTTTTGGTTCAGGTTTCTTGAAATTTTTAATTTTAAATGAAAAATTTTATTTTTTTATTTTTTTATATTCTATTTTTTCATGCTATAGTTTTTTTTTTCCTTTATTCTTGCTCTTTTCAGAATTTTTATGTTATTAAGTTATCTTGGAGATTATTTTCTTATTATTAAATTTGATTTTTTAAAGTTTTAATATTATAAATATGTAGATAGTGAAATTTTTTAATGCATGTTATTTAAAATATTTTTAAAAAAATTATTTTAAAAATGATGATTTTTTTTTTTTTATTTAGATAGACACCATATTTTTTCATAATTTATAGCTTGACATTTTTTCAATAAATATTTTTATTTTTGTGTATTCTAGATACATTTATGAGTTTATACATTGAGTTAATTTTATGTTTATATAGAAATTATATCTTGGATATTTTATGTTTATATAGAATTAATATCTTGGATATATTTTTTTGAAAATATAATAGTAAATAGCCTAAAGTTTGATCTATAAAAACTTGCACAGGTAATTTAGCCATCTATGAAAAAAAATTACTGACATGATAATTTCTAGAAGTTGGTGGGGTAATGTTAGGTTAATATCCAGTTTGAACATTCAGATAATTCTGATTGCTACTTAAGTTGCTCCCAATGATCATTTGTATGCTTTTTTTTACAATTGTTTTACCCTTTTAACAAGTTATTTATATGATAACTTATACTATATAAGTTATCAATATCAACAATTTATTGAGTTTTATGAGCAAAATAAAGTTTTTTAAAGGTTCTGTTAAAATAATCTGGTCAGCAAAATAAAGCTTTTTAAAGGTTCTGTTAAACATAATAAAGATTTTTATAAATTATAAAAAAGTTTATTAAAAATATACCCTGTTAAAACTAATTATCTGGTTGCCTTGCTAGGGAACTGGTTGTTATTTTTTTTTGTAAAATTATTCGTCCTTTAAGAAAACTGCTAAATATCCTTCATAGACTTTGAATTTTTTAATTTTTTGTAAATGGTTTTATAATAATTTTTTTATTAACTCTTTTTGTATAAGTTTTGATTATACTAATTTGAAAAGTTTAAAGATTCGATTTATTTAAAATGTTTTTTAACCATATGCTGATAAATTTTTATTTATTTTATTTGCTGGTAATTTTTATCTGGTAGCTGATATAGCTGATATAGCTGATAAATTTATTTAATACAGGCCATAAAGTCTGTATTTACATACTTTTATAATAAGATATAAAAATAATAATAAAAAAGATAAGCATATACAAAAATAAATTGGTTGATACATAGAGGTAAGAGCAAACAAATCTTTATATATTAATTACCATTAAAGATAAGGGAGAATATCCATTTATGTATAATACGCTTACTCGTGATCTATAATAAATAGAATCTCAGATTTTAAGTTAGTATATATTTTAAACTATAAATATTAATGTCCCAATAAAACTGTACCAAGTTATTGCCAGAATCAAAAATATAATTGAAAAAATAATACAGTTAGTTGACATTAAATTATTGATTAATATCTCAGTATGTTAAAATGGCATGCTTTATTTTGATGTAAAAATAGAAAAAAAAAATTTTAAAAAGCAAAATTTTTGATAATTTTAGAAAGAATTGGGTTCTATTTTCATAGCTTTGAGTGTTTCAATTGTTTGCCTTTTTTAAATATTATGATAGGAAACTTAAAGTTATAATAATTTTTAAATAATACATTTGCTCAGTTGTTCTAAATATATAATCTCTGAACTCACCATAAGATTAATTTATAAAACCTCAAGATAAAATCTAATTCACAATTTTGTCTTCAATATTGTTCGTGTTAAATTAGTGCATAAATCTAATGATTAGCAGGTGGTCAGAAATGATTAGTTAGTGGTCAGAAATTTAGAACATAAATAAATGCTATTTTTACATCAATTTTATTCCTTTATCTTTAAATTTTGACAACACCAACATAATTTTGATGATACTTAAATAAATATTTTTAATTTATTAAATAAAAATTAATAATTTAATGGTACTTTTTATTCATTTAACTGATCTTTTGCCTTTTTTGCATGTGAGCTGGCTAGTTCCAGCCAAAAGTTGGCATCAGCTATCGGTTCTTACATCACAATATGTTTTCACATATTATGATGTTAGAATTATAGAGTTCAATCTCCATTTTGTAATGTTGGGAGAGTTTAACTTTTTAATTATTTAAATGTTTTACAGCTGTTGTTTATATTTATAAAATGCACGTTTTTTGTTATTTATATTTTATAATAAATCTTATATTATTAATTTTGTAATTTTTAAAATTGTTTACAAATTAATTCAAACTTAAATAAATAAGGTTAAAACAATGAAAAAACAAAAACATATGTTTTTAAATATTATATAAATAATAATAAAGTTAATATCTCAAAACTATATAATTTAGAGCATAAGAATAATATATTAAATAAAAACAGAAAACTAAGTTTTCTTACCATGAAAATTGGGAGATAAAACCTCACAATTGTCATGTTATAACATATCAAATTGCAATTCCATATGCTATTTTGTCTTATACCAATCTATATTAAGAAATGAATAATGTGTTTTAAGCAATCAATTTAACAAATTTGATATTTTGACCTTTTAATTTAACGAGTTTAACAAAATTTTTACTTTTAATTTTAAAATTTAAAAGAATATAATAAATTTTGTTAGATTCTCTCAACATTACAAAAGGGAGATAGAACACTATTATACTAACATTACGATGCTGGAATATTCCTTAAGGGAATAGAAAAATAAAGAGCTCTATGTTTTTTAGGAAATCTATGGATTTAAACATTTTAGACAATAGCAAAGAAAGTTGTGTTTACATTTATTTCATTTCATTTAAAAACTAAGTTATTGTCAAATATTAGATTTTTTTTAAAAGTTTCTTATTTAAGTTTTTCTAATTTGCCTTAAATACATTGAGTATCAGTACCAGACAGTATAAATTATTTTTTGTCGCTTTCAAAAATGACGAAACTTTAAGAATTTATGATTTCTCAATGCAATTTTTAAAACTAGGTTTCTTTTGTTCGCTTTATTATTTATTTTTTTTGGTTATTTTTTAAAATCAAGTTTTTAAAAATTTTCTGACAGTTATTAGTCCTAATTTTCAATTCGTATTGCTGAATTTAATCAAATTTTGCTAGGTAACATTTTCTTGACTTGTCATTACACAGTAGACTATTTTTATGTTGTTTTGTGTGGTGGGTCTATTACTTGCAAATGTGTTGCAACATCAGATTCTTTCATTTATTCAAGTATAGAATCTACCATCCACTTTATTACTACATAAAAACTTTTTAATTACATATTTTATGTAAATCTAGAATGAAATATAAAACAAATAACAAATATATAAAAAGAGAATTTTAAATTCAAGATTTAAATTTAAAGTCCTTTTTAGCAACCATTTTATCTCAAACGTTTCTGACCACCTGTTACAAGTTTGTATACATAAATAAAAGGTACTCTATTTATAAAAAAAAGTAATAATTCTGAAACCAATTTAAAAAAAGAAAGAAATTTGTTTATATTTTGTCTAATTGATTTTTCATTAACTTTAAATTGTAGAATGGATTTAGAAAATGAGGCTGTCAAAATTTATCAAAAATATATTGAAGAAGATATTGATTTGCCAGTTTCACTAGCTGCAATTAAGACACTAATCCACATTATTGAGGTATCTAAAGCTGAAACAATGCAGGGATTAGATGGTGATTTGAATATTGTGATTAATCATCTCAAAGCAAATAAAGTAAGTTTAGATTCTGTAACATCTTTCACCTCTGGATGTGAGTTGCTGAAACGTACTATAACTTTAAAAGCAAACGAGGCTCTTTTATCGAAAGACTTTTCTGTAACCAAACAAGTCCTTGTAGAGGGTGGACTTTTATTTTTAAATAATGCTATAAATGCAAAATATAAAATTGCACAATTAAGTCAACAGTTTATTAAAGATGGATCTGTCATTTTGACACATGCCAGTTCAAAAGTGGTTATTCAGTTACTAATTGAAGCATCATTACAAAATAAGCGTTTTACAGTTTTTTGCACAGAGACAATGCCTAACAAACAAGGTTGGAAGACATATAACATTTTAAAGAACAATGGTATTTCATGCATGGTAATACTAGACTCTGCTGTTGGTTATATAATGGAAAGAGTTAATATGGTGCTGTTGGGTGCTGAAAATGTGGTTGAGAGTGGTGGAATAATAAACAAAGTAGGAAGTTTTCAGTTAGCTGTTGTAGCGAAGGCAATGAACAAACCTGTTTATGTTGCTGCTGAAAGTTTTAAATTTGCACGAGTATATCCATTGAAACAGAAAGATATCTCAAACATATTTAAATACAAATCAAATGAAGACGGACATCCCATGACTGATTACACGCCTCCGTCATACATTACTCTTCTATTCACAGACTTAGGAATTTTAACTCCTTCTGCTGTTAGCGATGAACTAATAAAGTTGTATATGTAAATTTTAATTACAAAAAAAATTTAATATTACTATGATTTTTTTTCAACTACTTTTAAGTTCAAAATTTTTATTAGTTTTTATATGTTAATTTTTTATTGTAGGTTAGTTTAAAAATATTTTGCTTTTAATTCATGCATTTATATTTGTTATTCATACAAAAAAAATTTCAAAAGCATCATCTCAAAATAATTGCTCTATTGTGCCAATATCTAATATTTTATGCAAAAAAAATTATATGTAACTAACATTATTCACTTTTTTTAATATTTTTATAGTTATATAGTTGTTTCTCTATCAAGTTCTGCCAAGACAAAATAATTTATAAAAATGAATTTTATTGGTTCAAATGAGTTACCATACAAAGAAGCAATGGATCAAGTTCATGCGTACAACTCTAAACTGCTGCTTGAAAGACGCTTGCGTATGCCTTATATTGATAGTCAAACTGGTTTAGCTCAACAAGACTGTCATCTTTGGGTGAGTAGAGTTCAACGTTGTGCACCATTAAGAGATGGTCAAGTTTACAGTTATCCTTCACGCCGATGGAGAGTAAGACGTAGACCTGATTTCACAGGCTCTTCTAAACCAATGGAAAAACCAAAACCAGTTGAAAGCATTGAACATCATGGTACTAGCTTATAATTTATTTTCATGTTTAGAATACTTAATTTAGATAACTTATTAAACAGTTACAGTTTGTTAATTAATGATAATTTATTAAATAATGACAAATTATTTGTAAATAATAGTTTATTAACAAATTGTAATTTATTAATTAATGATAAACAAAGATAATTTATAGTTATAAATTATTAATGATAATGGTATTTAGTTATGTGTTTAAAATGAATTTTGTTACTCTGAATGATTAATTAGATGATAAAATGGGATGATTATTGAAGATATTAGACTGTTGATTAGAATCACAACTTAATTTACATTGTTTAGACTTTGAAAAGATTTTTGGAGATGATTCCAACTCATTTTCAAGAGAAGCATTTCATGTACCTTCTACTCCTGTGAGTACTTTAAATCTCAGTAATATTGATCAAGAATATTATGGAGATGAAGCATTTGATTCTGAGTTTGATAGTGATGACGAGTTTGTGCGGAAAAAAAAGCGTAAGAATAAACTAAAGGTATGTAATTTTATTTATTAAATGTAAATTATGTAATTTTAATTTTAAACAAGTAAAATTTAATGATTAAAATATCATAAATATTACTCATTTTTCATGTTTATCTGTATTTCTCAAGATATCTTGAGTAACTATTAAAATTATTCTCGTTAAAAAAAACAACTCATTTTTCAAACTTGCTATACATTTGAATATAAAGGAATGCACAAAGCTATTGTAAGTTGATTTAAATGAAAAAATAAGAATTACAGTAACTATAGTAACTACATCGGTAGTTTGTTTGAAGATTTTTCAATGTTGTCTTTTTGAAGAAGTGTAAACCATTTTATGTGATATTCAACAATTTATTATACATTTTGCTTGCTTTTTTCATCTTTAGTGAAAGACAATAAAAAGTCATGCATCAATTTTACACCTCTCTTAGTAACATCATTACCAACTTAAATGTTTTTTAAAAATTTTATCGCTTTAAAGATGATCTTTTATCTTCCTCCATGTTTGCACTGTAGTTTCCAGCTATTCAGTGTTCTCACCAAGAGTTTCAAACATAAGTCAAGAGTTTTCTCGAATCAATGATGGAGTTTTTATATTTTCTGTCACTACAGGAAAGGTTGGTGCACCTTTATTCAGCTCACATTGGTAGGATTAGAGTTTTTTAGCAATATTATTTAGATCTTCATCTTCTTTGAAATTTTCTAAAATCACTTATGCTAGTTGTTTTATATTGTTTTTTTATGGTGTACTTTTTACTTGATTGAACAAGCAAGTGAAAGGTATACTAAAAAAATGTTATAAAGCAGCTAACAACTGATTTTAGTAAAAATATTTTAATTAAAAAAAAAAAAATTTAGTAAAAAAAAAAACATTTCTTTTTTTTTTATAACTTTGCAATTTTCTTGTATAATCTGTGTTAACAGAGCCTAAAATGACTTTTTTCCATCTTTTTTCCATCTAAAAACTTTAAATCTTCTTTTTGTTTAATGTTCCATAATTTGTGACACAATTGATATTTGGACAATATTAGCAGCTCATTGATGTGCAATATAGAAAAAATTCCTCTTGTTAATATAAAAACAGCTGGGATTTTTATAATTTCTATCTTTATTTCTACCATTAAGTTTCTGAATGGTTCATACTAATTTGTAAGTTTTTGTTTCACTTTGTCTTTCCTCTGTGTTTTTATCTCTGTCTTTTCTTATACAGCACACAGGTCGTCAGTTATCTTACTATATGTAACTGTATTACTAATAGAGTACTTATAATGTTTCATAGGCCCTTCTTTCAAAATAAAAACAAATATCGCAATACCTCATGTTTAGTTAGTACTCTGTTTGAAGGTAATTGTTCCAGACTATTCCCCAACAACTAAATTTAGCATTTTGAATGTAAACTTGATTGACTCATACTCACAAAAGCTAACTTTAAAACTTTCACAAAAGACACTGTACAATCTTACAGCAACATAAACATAACCTCAATCTTTAAATAGAACAAAACAAAAAGATGACCAGATGAGCATCAAAACAAAAGACAGCAATTACAATTGAAATAATTTAAAGACTAAAATTTTGATGTGCTGCTGTGCTGTCAAATTGGTACTTACAACTATTCTGAATGGGTGTGAAAAGCATACTATAAATAGCATTACTAATAATATTATATAAAATTGATATTAAAATTGCATTTGGTTGTTTATGTTTTTATTTCAATAGTTTGGCTCTTCATATATTTCAAAATATAAATAAACGTGAAAAATGAGTAATATTTATGTTTTATTCCCCATATTAAACTTATTATCATGGCATATGATTTTTTTTTTTGAACATTTATGTCAAATAAAAGTTAAAACCAAGTTTACTTGTTTAGTTACAAAAATTTGTAGATTAAAAGTAATTTAAAATCTTTGAAAAAACTCAAAAAAAAAATTTGAAGGGAAGGGGGTATGGAAGACTTAAGACAAGTGTTCGGGTTAATATTTTGGCTAAATTTTGAAAATGAGGGTTTATAAGCTATCATCACTAGAAAACAGCCGGGGAGATCTATATTTTTAAACCTTTTTTTTTTTCAGAGCACCCTAATATATATATATATATATATATATATATATATATATATATATATATATATATATATATATATATATATATATATATATATATATTATTTAAATAACTGACTTTTTAATTGACTTAAAAATTAAATAGTTTAATAAACGCTATTTTAATTATTTACTTATTCAAATAACTGACTTTTTAATTGACTTAAAAATTAAATAATTTAATAAACGTTATTTTAGTTATTTACTTATTTAAACTCGGATAAAATAAAATACTTTAATTACTTAAAATCTAATTAATAAATTTTTTTGAGAAAGTTTTGTTGTTACTTACAAGGCAACAAAGAAAGAAATTTTTAAATTGTGCATTAACATATATAGAAATTTATGCTAGTTTATATAATAACTCCAAGTTATCAAAGTTTTTAGTTATAATCAGGTTGTTAAAATTCTAGAATGTTTTTTTAAGTTCTTTGAATATTCAGATGAATTTTTCTAGAATGTTTTTTAAGTTCTTTAAATATTCAGATGAATTTTTTTAGAATGTTATTTAGTCCTTTAAATATTCAGATGAATTTAGGAATCTTTTCTTTTCTATGACAACAAAAAGGGGAAAAAAAACGCTCTTGCCATGAAACTTGCAGAGAAAGTACCTATACTTACAAAAGATGAGATTAGCAGACTTGTTGGTGAAGAACGAAAGCGTCCGTACGGATGTCAAAGTAAGTTGTTAAAATTTTTCTAAAACAATTTTTTAATTGTTTAATTATTGATGACTCTAAAATATTTAAATTAAAATTGTTTTAGTATGTAGCAAGCGTTATAAAAACCAACAAGGTCTTCGTTATCATTATGAACACTTTAATCATGAGGTTGAAGACTTCAACACTAACGATACTGTTATTGAAACTATTGTAGACCAGCCACCAAATGATCATGTGTCAGGGGCTAAGCGTCAGAAAGGAATGCCACCAAGCTTATATTGTGATTTCTGCCTCGGAAATATTGACGAAAATAAAAAAAGTGGAAGTTCTGAGGAGTTAATATCTTGCTCAGATTGCGGGCGATCAGGTACCTAAATTTTTTTTAATTTTGAGTCTATTGTCTAAAGTATAGTTAAAAAAAGTGCTATTTTATTTTATATAAAGGTCATCCTTCATGTTTACAGTTTGATGATAACCTAGCAACACAAGTAAAGAAATACAAATGGCAGTGTATTGAGTGTAAATGTTGCTGTTTATGTGGAACTTCAGACAATGATGTATGTTTTTAGGGTTTGTTTTTTTTATTGTAGTTGTCCCAACAGCTTTTAAGTAAAGATAAAAATAAGATAAAGAATATGATAAAAATAAGTATAATTAAAGAATAAAGTATAAATAAAGAATAAAGTATATAAAGTATAAATATTAGGAGAAATTATAAATACTACAAGTTTTCTTTTGTTGAAATTTAAAAAAAAGTTCTTTTATTACAATTTAAAAACTTTTTTTGTATAAAAACTATATATGTCTAAAGCTTTGTTTAAATTTACTAAATGATGATTTTTGTTGAAGATATTTTGGAAGTGGGTTGTAAACATGTACGCTCATGTAAAAGAGTTCTTTTTATTTGGTTTGATTTTAATTTAGTGGTTTTATTATGTGTTTTTTTTTGTATTTTATTTTTTTAAAGTGTTTTTTCAAGTTACCGCTAACATCTCTGTCTAAACATTAACGTACTAAAAAACACACTTGTATCTTTAAATACACATGTATCTTTAATGCAGAGTGTTAAGTTAGTAATTTTATTTTCTAATGGCGCTAGTTCACTTCATCATCCCAAGTTTACTGTCATGATGCTTAACTAATTTAGCAAAATATTCAAGAGATTTTATAGTATAACTGTTTTTGTTAATTCATAGTAGAAAATATGCTAACATTTTACATTTAATTAATACACAAATTTAAGTGTGTGTAGTATACAGATGTAAGTACACAAGATTTAGTTAATGACAAAAACATTTTGATATTTTAGATAATATACATTTTGCTTGCAAGTAAAACACATAACAACATCTGAAAAAACAATTGTTTTTGAAAATTTGAGAAATGAGCAAAAATTATTGTAAAATACCAAATACAGTAACGGCTGGAAGATTGAGTCTTTCAGACATGCATGTTATTGGTATTCATTTAGTGTCTTTATTTATTTGAACACATTGTTTTAAAATAATTTCAAAACCATTTGTGTTCTTCTATAGTAATATCATATGAAAACATCTTCTGTAGAAAAATAGGCATATTTGGTGTCAAAGGTCTTAGATAAATATTGCACTAACTAATTTATCTTAGTTGATTTGCTTACAAACATTTTCAATAAATTGATTTCATAAATTTTTTATGGTATTTAATTTGCACTTTATTTAACAACTTATTGTTTTCAAGATACCAGGGCAGTCAATAAATTTCTAGAATAGAAATGAAAAACACAATTTTGTGGCTTGAAATGCATGTTATTATTCAGTATATTCTCTCAGAAGTTCAATACATTTATTCCAACTTTCCTCCAATTTTTGAATACCATCTCCATAGTGATTCTATGGAAGGTCTGCAAAATAACCTTCCTCAGCTGCTATCACCTCTTCGTTTGATGAAAAATGATGTCCATGCATGAATCTTCTAAAATGCAAAAACAGCCAGAAGTCAGAGGGAGCCAAATCTGGCGAATAAGGTGGATATTGCAGCAATTCGTGCTTCAATTCATTAATTTTGGCGATGGTTTTTTGAGCTGTGGGGGTACATTATCCTGATGAAAAATGATTTTTTTCTTCTGCAAACCGGTTCTTTTTTCACAAATTTTTTTTATCCAATTGGTCCAAAAGGCTACAATAATAATCAGAATTGATTGCTTTACTGGTTTGTAGGTAATCCACCAACAAAATTCTAATTGCATCCCAAAAAACTGGTGCTAACACCTTCTTGGCCAATTTCTGGACACATACTCACTTTGAAGCCGAAGATTCGGGCCCACGCCACTCTTTATCCTCTTGTTTTGATTTAGGATTATGGTAATAGACCCAAGTCTCATCCATAGTAATGAATTGACACACAAAGTTCTTTTTATCCTTTCAAAATTGCTCCAAATGTTGTTGAAAAAGTCGCATTCGAAGGTGTTTTTGTTGCATTGTTAGCAAATGCGGCACCCATTGTGCACACAACTTTTAAAATATTTTGTGCTGTACCATGTCAGGCCTTGTGATGAATAAAAACTGCACGACGCATAAGCACGATGTGATTTTTGACGTCATTAAATTCTTTTTATTTGCTTTTCATATTTATCGACATTAACTGCACCAATTTACTTAATTACCGCAAAAGTACTTTGAATCATTAATGTAGAAATGTTATTATTTAAAAATGTTTTGGAATGTTTTGCTTTTTAAAATGTAAAAACATTTGTTTATTTTCTCGACGTTAGACAGGTTTTGTCTATACTAAACGAATAAAAAACATAAGTTTTTCAAGTAATTATTTTTTCTTTTTAAAAAGTCAGAGAGTAATAAACTGGAAATTTTAATATTGTACGATTAAAAACTGTGCAATAGCTAATATTTTTACTAGCGATTTTATATAATATTTTTTTATTTATTTATTTTTATTTATTTTCATAAAGCGGTTGATAAGCACAATCACTCGTATTATTAAAAAACTTTAACGAACGTTTTGAATAGATTTTTAATGTTTACAAGGAATTTTATTTTTGGTAAAGTAAAATAAAATGTTAGAATAAAACTCTTTTAGGTATAAAAGAAATATTTCAGCGAAAAAATTATTATTAAAAATTATTCGAAAAACTATTGACGTTCTATTTTTCAGCAGCTGTTCTTGAGCATGCTTTGTTGAGTTTCGGTAACTTTTAACAAAAAAGCGATTGTTATTATTTAAGTAATTTTTTTCGAGTTACTTTTTACAAAAATTTTAATAACTGTACTTTTTATTGAATCAAGTAGAATACATTTTAATATTATTCCTTTTTTTTTTTTATTTTCGCTTACCAATTTTTAAAATGTTTCCTCGAAATTACACTTAAATACTCTAAATTCGCCTAACAGTTAATAAATATTTTTAAATCTATTGAATAATTTTAAAACCTAACAAACCCCCGTAAAATAATTATTTTAGTTAAAAATCTAAAACTAAAAGAAAGTATTTTTGTTCAATTTTATTGACAACTTTGCTATTCCTGATTAATTTTATTAAAATGCTAGCTAAAAAGATTTAAACTTTTTTTTAATCTGAATTTTTTCTACTTGTAAATAATGAGCATATTTATTTTTTTTGTAATTCAAACTTTTATATCAACTGCGTGCGGTTTTTAAAAAATTTTATTAAATGTTAAATTAATCATAAATTACTTCATTAAAATTTTGCTCAAAAATATCTTTAAATATACTCAAACAAAAAATTTTTTGCTCGACGCAAATAGCCCTAGCTACACGCAAAATTGCTCTTGGACGACATAAAATTCACATCACCCGACGCTTTATCGCAAGGCCTGCCATGTGTTATGTGTAATCGGTGTCAACTATCTCATCCACTGTCAATCGTCTGTCTTCCAAAACCAAATCCTGTATATATGCTATGATTTCTGGTGTTGATGCACCTTTTGGACGTCCTTCCCGTGGATTAACTAAGCAACCTAATTATATACTGTCGCAAGTGAAGGTGAAGAATCCCTATACACTATTAACAATTGTTCATGAATCTGTTTTGATTCTACACTTTCCAAAAATAGGAATTCAATCACTGCTCGATACTTGATTTTTTCCATATTAAAAAAACACTGTGACACTTTTATTTTAAACAGCTGTAAATATAAGACTAATCCACTAATCTACACAAAATTCTGCATGTGTTCATACAAAAGTAGTACTAATGTTAGAAAAATAAAATGGCAGACCTGTTACCGCCACTTATTTATGATTCTAGAAACTTATTGACTGGCCTGGTAATCCTTGTTTTTGGTGTGAAACAAACTTTCAAGACTTTTCTAAAAGCGGAGGTAAAATCGAGATAAGATTTTTTTTTTGCTTCATTGTAGTTCCAATCATTTATGCTTTTTTAATACAGATCTCAATAGAACTGACGCTCTGAAATACAGGCTATCTGTAAAAATTTATGCCACCCATAATAATATTTTCTTTAAATTTTATTGTTACGTTACATCCATTATTTAAAATCTAACCTTAAATAATCTTTTTGATGGATGATATAATACATGTTTTTTGAGTTGCTTATAAATAGTTTTTAACCAGATGTATTTCTGAAAATAAGTGTTTGATTTGTCAATGCCAAAACATTTACAGATTTAAAAAAAAAGAATTTTAATTAATCCATAGTATCCATAGTAGCAAAGTGATCCATAAATATATTGTAGAATAATAACCTTTTAAAGGTAATATTAATATTAATGTTGTATAAGCATAAATATGTTGTAAAACTTTTTTTAACATATAAATAAAGATTTTTTGCCATTTTTTCTCTTTGAATAATATTTTTAATTTTTTATTTATTTCGTGAGTGGTATTTTGCAATTTTTTATCATTTTTTTTTTTTTACAAGGATCAGTTGTTATTTTGTGATGACTGTGATCGTGGTTATCATATGTATTGCTTAGTACCTGCAATCTCTGAACCTCCTGAAGGTTGGTTGTTTTTTTTTTTTTTTTTTTTTTTTTTGTTACTATTTTTAAGTTGAGTTTAAGTTAAGGATGAATGTTATGCCAGTCGAATTACTCACAGTACTATGCAGAGCCAGATTACCCACAATACTGTGCAAGGCAGGATTACCCATAAGGCACATAGAGCCCAGGTTTGCTGAGAAAATTTAGTGAAATATAAAAGTAAAGATTTTTTGAAATAACAAAAAAAGGTCATTGTTAACAAAAGTAACAAAATGTATTTCTATACTAAATCTATAAATCTATTTGTTTTAGTTTCATTCAAACCACTTTTAATTATGATTTTAATTATGTAGATCTATATTAACATAATAAATATGTTTGTTGAGTATGGGAATAATATTCAATAATTTTTGCTTTATAATTTTTTGAAAACTATATAACAACTTATTTTAATTTCTAATTTACATAATCCATTGTTTGATTGCATTAGTATGTAGCTAATATGTTGTTGGTTAATAATATTGTTATGTTTCTAATACACTCACAAGTCTTGCTTAAATTGAAAAGTTGATTACTTTTATTTAATTACTTTTTTTATTTTTAACTATTTCAGTGACAAGATGTTTTTGTGACAAGATCTCTTAGTGACAAGATGTTTTAAAATAACACATGAACAAAACTATGAAAGGAAATTCTGCAGGCCCTAAAAGCAGGTTAGGGCAGGTTTTGTCCACTCCCGTTGTCCCTTATCATTTTAAGTAAATAATTTATTTTGAAGAAGAGCAAAGTAAATAGAGGCTCAACAAGAGTGTTGCAAATGCATCAAAGTGTTGCGCTCAACAAAGAATTTTCTTATTATCAAAATGCTTTTTTAGCAGGCAGGAAAACAAGATTTTGTTAGGCACTTGTTAAGGATGTGGTTTAGGATCTGTGTCTGAAAAACAAACTACAAAATTTTGATTTGGATGTTTAACAATGAGTTAACCTAAATCTCTGGGATGACTGGAAGAGTTTAGTTATTTAAGAGATTTAAGAGATAACTTAGAGAAAATTTTTTTTGCAAAAAAAGTTTTTTATATATTTTTTCTTATCTTTTGATAAAGTAATAAGATCAGATACATATAGGAGAGATTGGGTAGGCAAGATTGGATAGGAGAGATTGGGTAGGAGATATTAGATAGGAGAGATTGGGTAGGAGAGATTGTATAGGAGTGATTGGATAAAAGAGATTATATAAGAGAGATTATATGTTAGATTGTCTATGTTAATAACATTATCAAAGATTTTCCAAAATTTTCTAGAACCTAACTTCTGAAATGAAAATACAAGATTTAGTAATCTGGGAATAATGCTCCATTTAGTAAAACAATTTTTGATATTTAGCTGACATATATGTAGCAAAACTTTATGCTGATGATGACAATCGATAATAAAGAAAAAGTTAAAATGGTTCATACTGACTTGACTATTCTGTCGTTTGGTCCAAAAATGATTAATTTTAATTGAAGTGGTACTTAAGACAAGCCAATAGTGACAATAGTTTGAGATCTTAATTAGAGACAATACTTAGAGATTGATAATTTTTTACTTTTCAAGTGCAGGGTCACAAGAGATGTTTTTATATTATATTAAAAAAAAAGTTGGTATAATACTTGTTTCAAAAACATTTATTAAAACAAAAAACAAAGTTTATTCTATTTTAGCAAAATCTTTTGCAAAGTCATCTACTGTCTTACATAGGTAAATAAGTCAATGTTACTGGGCAAAACGAAGTAGAAACTCATTTAAGGTGAGGATTTCATTGTGTTTCTGGATAAGAGCAATCCCACTCTCTACAATTGTCATTTGTCAATTATTGGCAACCTTTATCTATTTGACTCACTGCTTTAAATTTTGGTATCAAGCATCTTATTCCCATACTTCTCGATCTTTCAAACAGAAACTTGGTCTTTTTCTTTCCTGTGATACTTTAGGTCACAAACTATTCAAAGCTGTTAAAGTCTCCACCATGCGTTCAGTAAACTCAATGTAAGCTGAATCAACGATTATACAGCCACTTGTGAACTGGTGACATCTCTCTGCATAGTTTTTTTTTTTTTTGTTTTTTGTTTTTTGTAGTTATTTAGGTGCTCTCAGAAGTCCTTACGGTCTTATCACAGAGCACTGCGGGAAAGCATTTAATTAGAAGTTCACACCTTCTTCTGTACTAATGTCGCTTGTTAGGCTAGAGCTGGCATTGAACCACGGACCTCTGGACTCTGAGCCAGAACTTTAACTACTGCGCCACGGCTGCTCGTAGTTACAAATTGTCTTTTTTGTTTGATATGATGTCCGAAGCGTTCTTCCTGAAAAAGTTGCATAATGTTGTCTTTGAACATTGGCTCTTTAAGTCTGAAAACTTTTATATGTTTTCATATACATTTAATGTAAAATGATAATATATTATAAAATATATAAAATAAAATGTTATTTTATTATATAGAACACATTAGGTGGGTGCTAGCAGATATAATTCAAAAAGGATGCTTTTAGAGCCACCCTAGCTGATATTAATTAAACTAGTTCATTTTTATCCTTCCAGAGATAATCTTCTGATACAAAAGTTTAAATTTTTCTTTTTCCAGAGATAATCTTCTGATACAGAAGTTTAAATTTTTCTCCTTTCAGAGATAATTTTCTGATACAGAAGTTTAAATTTTTCTCCTTCCAGAGATTATCTTCTGATACAAAAGTTTAAATTTTGCAATTTTGTTTTACCAATAAACTTCAGTTTAACAAGTTTTTTATAGAAAGTTTATAGGTAATAGACATTTGTTTTAATCTATAATTTTTAAAGATTAATTTTAATCAAGACCCAATCCTAAAAAACGATTAATCCGGTCTTGTTACTTACTAGCAACCATTAAAATCTATGACTTAGTTATTAAAATTTAATTATATGGCATTAAGTAATCATACAATCATAATAATTATGTTATTTTTTAAATAAAACTAATTATTATTTAGAATTTATATTAGAAATACAATAATTTTTGTTAGTAATTTTTTTTTTTTACAACTAATATTTTAGGCAGTTGGCAGTGCCAATTATGCGAAGCACGAGTTAAAGGAGATGATGTACGTAAAGTTGCTGTACTTCCAGAGCATATGGATTCAAGATAACATTGTTTTTACAAAAACTCTTATTTCTGATATAGGCTATATAGATATTTCATTTCAATTGTTAATTTGTGTATAAAAATAATAAACCACCTAAAAAGACTAATTAAAGTTTGTTATCCAGTGAAATATATTTATCCACAAAAATGTAAAATATAGTTTAGAGTCTTGCTAGTGTTAAAATTACATTTTTTTTTTTATTTAAATTTTGTGCCATATTTTGATCTATATCTGAAGATGTTGTTGGCTTAGCATAGTAATAGCATATATATGTATATATATATATATATATATATATATATATATATATATATATATATATATATATATATATATATATATATATATATATATATATATATATATATATATATATATATATATATATATATATATATATATTAGGGTGGGTCATAAAAATTTTTTTTAAAGTTGCTAGCCTCGTTATGGTCTAGAAAGTTGTTTTTTTATGTACTAATTTAGGAAAGTATTTACTTTTATGGATTGAACAATGTCTTCCACCCGCAACTTTAGTTACAAAAATTAGCAGGCATTAACAATAAAAATTAGCATTATTATTATTCAAAAAAATATTTTTTCAAAATTATGTGATGTAGGTACTCAAATAAAGCGAAATTTTATAAAAATTTCAAAAATAATAACTTTTTCATATAAAAATTATTATTTTAGATTTTATTGCATAATAACTATAGTTTTTTAACTAAAAGTGAAAAAGGTGCATTTTTACATGTTTTTTAAAAACAATTTTTTTCGGCAATAGGATTTTTTTAAAACGATTATTATTTTCTAATTTTTTATAAAATTTCGCTTCTTTTGAGTACCAGGTTGACTTACTTTTAAAAAACTTTTTTTCTCCAAAATATTAGGGTACCGGTAATTTTCCCAATAAAGTTGCGCCCTTTAAATCTATCACAATCATTCTCATATTTGATAGTATCAATATTAATAACTATTAGCAATGTTTAGAGCCTGTAACAAGAAAATAAAATTTTTTGACCCACCCTAATATATATATATATATATATATATGTATATATACATATATATATATATATCTATATATATATATATATATATATATATATATATATATATATATATATATATATATATATATATATAGTATATATATATATATATATATATATATATATATATATATATATATATATATATGCACATTTTATTTTTTATAAAAAAAAAGTAAACTATTTACTTTATATACTGTTGTATAACAGTATATAAAGTAAATAGTTTACTTTTTTTTTATAAAAAATAAAATGTGCATATATATATATATATATATATATATATATATATATATATATATATATATATATATATATATATATATGTATATATACATATATATATATATATATATATATATATATATATATATATATATATATATATATATATATATATATATATATATATATATATGCACATTTTATTTTTTATAAAAAAAAAGTAAACTATTTACTTTATATACTGTTGATACATAAAAGCGTTTCTTATTACACTGGCAATTCGGTTACAAATGAGTTTTTATTATTACCTTTTTTTTCGTTAAATTTTTAATATATTTACTATACCTTTCAATGTATAAATAAGTTAGGCCTATTAAGGTGGCTACCCACTAAATAAAAAAAATCATTAAAGAAACCCTTTTATCCTTCCAAATTTAAACATTTCAATTGCATTAGAATTAATTAAGACAAAAATTACATTTTATTTTCATTATTACGTCATTAATTATGCGCATAGTTAACTCAAAAGCAGCATGTTTTCTAACAAGGATAACTACACCTTTTCTGGATCAATTTAAAAGAAATACGAATCAATTTAAAAGAAATACGAATCAATTTAAAAGAAATACGAATCAATTTAAAAGGAATACGAATCAATTTAAATTAGTATTTCTTTTAAATTGATTCGTATTTCTTTTAAATTGATTCGTATTCCTTTTAAATTGATTCGTATTCCTTTTAAATTGATCCAGAAAAGGTGTAAAAGCAGAGTTTTCCAAATCAAGTGAAACTTTTCAAAAACATTGATTATCATATGAACTGTGTGCTGAGTCAAAAATAAAATTTATATTTTTATTTAAAACTCTGAAATTCACAATCTTCTATATAATATTGCCGAACTTAATAGTTTTAATAGTAGTAGTAGTGTCCCTTGAAGCGTATTTGACACGAAACCCTTGGCAGCCTTTGCAACCGAGGTATTGGCAAGAAAGAGTCGCAGCACTATAAGAAAACGTGAACGAATATCTAAAGTACGTAAACTTTAAACTAAGTAATGTTAAAGCATATGTTAAAACATACTGAAACATTTATAATGTTTTACAGTTTGATTTTCACTTGAAAATTACATTGCGTCAAGCACTCCTTAATTTTGATCTATAACATTTTTTTCCTCAAAAAAAATACTACATTTTTATAAAATCTACGCCATATAATAGTGGTTAAGGCGTCGAACTTCTGAACAAGGAACTAGAGGTTCGACTGCTACCAATGGCGGCCATTTTTTTCAATTTTTTTGCAATTATTTTAAATTAGGAAATACTTTTGAAGTTTTATAAAGATTATATACAAACATATGTAACGTAACGATATTATGCACTTAAAAAAGAAAAGATTTTAAGAAAGCTAAAAAAATAACATCACCGGGAGAAAAAAATCGTTGCGTATTACTTATGTTATTATTGTGCTCAGGTAATTAGTCCTAATAAGCTGTGGATGGTCTGAAAAAAAAAGTTGTCTGAAACTTAATAAAGAAAAAACTATATTAAATAAATAAGAAAGTCCTGCTACTCAAGAAGGTGCTGCTGTAGAGGCAAAAAAAAAATAGCCCGTAGCTAGAAAAAAATTTAAAACTTTCTTTTGATAATCAAAAGCTTTTTTAGCTACATCTATAAATATATGCTGCAGCTGTTTTTCAAAACGCCTCAAAATGCTTATTACGTATTTCGAGTAAAACCCAATTAAAAAAAAGTTATTTAAAACTAACTTTTTGTTAAACGTTTTATGAAACGAATAATTTTAATGAATTTTTTTTAGAAATCTTTGAAAATATGTATTCAATAATGTTTGTAGATATATAAACTAGCTTATTTTGTAAATAAGTCAAAAATGATATTTTTAACCTTAAGGCGTTTTGAAAAACGGCTGTAGTATGGATGATACAACAAATATGTTAAAATGAGATAATTTGACACAAAATTTAAAAGCTTTTAACAAAAGCCACTAAACCAAAAAAATTAAAAATAATTGCTTAAAAATTTTATTATAGTGAAAAATTTTATTTTAGCGAATATAGTAATTGTAGTTCAAAGTTTTATTATAGCACTTAAGAATTTTATTATAGCGCGTTGGTTTTTGCAAAGAAACGCTATATAAATCATTTTTTAATTTTAATACAAACTAATTTTTTTTTAACTTTGTTGCGCTTAACCGTCTATATTTAAACAATGTATATATAAACATATATGCTATTTGTTTATATATATATATATATATATATATATATATATATATATATATATATATATATATATATATATATATATATATATATATGTATATGTATATGTATATTGTTTATAAAATGAAAAAAAATCCACTTATATAACGTTTTATTCAGGATAGTATGTAATATAAGTATACTTATATTACATACGATTCTAATAATTACAAGTCTTTTTTGCTTCAACTTTAGATTTGCTCCTCTCTCGATAATTTCTGATTTCTAAAGTTATGTCATCTGCTTCTTAGATCTTTAAAAATGATATTATATTTATTTCAAATTTTTAGAGCTTATTAAGTTTAATGAAAAACGTCATTCTAAAGAACTGAAGATCTCTTCTACTTTTTGAAAAATAAATTTAGCGTTGCGTGTTTTGTGGGCGATTCCATAGCGTTTTATAGTTTATATAATTTTCTGCTCTTAAAGTAGTTTTTCAGAACAAAATTATTTTACTTAAAAGTATTGAAGTAAATAAGGAATAGATATAGAAATAATCGGTGTGGAATAGGAATGTATAGAAATAGTAGGGTCGGTAAAGACCCGTATTTAACGGTTTCGAAAAACTAGGATATATAAGAAAAAGGTATTAAAAACTTCGGTTTGGAATAGACTTACAAAGACCCGTATTTTTACGGGTCCGATCTAAGCTAGTTTAGTATAAATCCCTAAAAAAAAGTAAAAAATAGCCCGATTTACCCAAATTTTAATTTGAATGGAATACTATAGTAAAAATATTTTTGACTCAGCACATTCATTTAACTAGATTTTGACTCTGTAAAAAATTTCAACTTAAGATATTATTTCAAACTAAAGATATCTTTGTTAGAAAGTAGAAAATTTGTAAATGGAGAAAAACGTAAAAAAACAAATATAATAAACACAAAAAATCAATAAACAGTTCAAGTAAAAGAACCAGAAGCATAGCATTCGCCCTCGTTTTCTGTTGTGTTATCATTATAGCCTTTTTTAATTGATCTTAGTTTTTTTCTTCGTTTTTTGATTAGCTCTGCTGACATTTTGTTCATTTCCCTAACGCGTTTAACATCAATATTTAGAAGTCCTATCAAAGTATACTTTCTTGGTACGATACCAATCTTGGAATATATAGGGAGTAGTCCCTGGGAACCTTCATTGAAGCAAATGACAGCAAATGTTGCAGCCATCTCTAAAGAATCTTTTCTTGTAAGAACTCTTTTCGAACATTTGGTCCATATCATTCCATTCAAAGATTCATTAACATTTTGAGTTTTACTGTGCAAACATTTTTCCAGCAGCTTTTCGTTTGCAAGATCCTGATATGAAAAGATTGGTTTAAGGATATTTGCAACTGCTTGAGGAATATTTATATTGGACTTATAAGTATTTTTGCCTGAGACTAGGTCAGAGTTATATTTGCACCAAGATTTGGCTCCTATTGGACAGAGTTCATGGCGTTTCTTTGAGTCATCATTTTCACAACAATGAAAAATTATAGCACCAACTGCTTTTTTCATTTGGTAAAGGTTATCTGTGTTTTGGCGTATTGCCAAACCATAATAATTCTGTAGCCTA